AGGGAATCGTGCTCACCATTGTCTCTCTTGAGACAGTTTCCCTTGAAACAAAATTTTTTCTCCCTTGAGACAGTTTCTCTTGCAACATAAACATTGAAAACATTTCCCTTGAAATAAATTGTCTCTCTTGAGATAGTTTCCCTTGAAACAAAATTTTGTCTCCCTTGAGACAATTTCTCTTGAAACATAAACATTGAAAACATTTCCCTTGAAATGAATTTTGTCTCTCTTGAGATAGTTTCCCTTGAAACAAATTTTGTCTCCTTTGAGACAGTTTCTATTGAAACATAAACTTTGAAAACAGTTTCCCTTGAAACAAAATATTTGAATATGTTTTACATTAAACAAATTTCGTCTCTCTTGAGACAGTTTCTCTTGAAACAAATTTTGTCTATCTTAAGACATGTTTTTCTTAAAACAAAATTTTGTCTCCCTTGAGACAGTTTCTCTTGAAACATCAATCCTTGAATATGTTTTTTTTGTGTCACCCTTGATACAATTTCTCTTGAAACACAAAAAGAAACCTTTGAAATTGTTTCTCTTGAAACACAAAAAACCTTTGAAAATGTTTCTCTTGAAACACAAAACCTTTGAGATTGTTTCCCTTGAAACAAATTTTGTCTCCCTTGAGACAGTTTCTCTTGAAACACAAAATCTTTGAGTTTATTTCCTTTAAAACAAAATTTTGTCTCCCTTGAGGCCGTTCTCATGAAACAACATATATCTTTAAGATCGTTTCCCTTGAAACGAATTTTGTCTTTTTTAAGACAACTTCTCTTGAAGCATCATTTAAACCGTTACACTCAGCTCAGGCACATACTTGGGATGGTCGAGAAGCATTTCTCAAATCAAAAAATAGAATGTGCACATCAGATTTGAACATTTGAAGAATTCGAGATCAGGGATCAGAACTTGAAGATTCCAGAACTAAGATTCCAGAGAAGCAACCGAAGATCGAGATTTCTCTCCTTAGCCCAAAAAATAACATATGTTGCATATGCATTTTAGGCACACCTAAGAGCATTGCATCCATAGCATCACATATATGCATAACTTTTTCAGGTTTTAGCTAGAGTCAATTTCAACTTCGCGGCGAATGATATTGAACTCAAAGCGACACAATTTGCTCGAGAGTGGATTTCAACTTCACGACGAAGGATATCTAGCTCGAAGCCAAACTTCACAATAAAGGGGTCTCCACGGTTTCAACTTCACGGCGAAGGGAATTGTGTCCACCCGCAACATACAATACTTGGATTTCAACTTCACGACGAAGGATATTCAAGTCAAGGCTCAACTTCACAACGAAGGGGCCATCTGCGATTTCAACTCCACGATGGAGGATATCGTGCCACTCAAGACAACACAAGTTCAACTTCACAACGAAGGGACGACTGGTTGTCAACGAACAACTTTCCAATTTCAAAGCTGATTTTCACGACGGAGGATATCATGCTACCTATGACAACACAAGTTCAACTTCACAACGAAGGGACGGCTGGTTGTCAACAACAATTTCCCAGTTTCAGGGCCAATTTCAACTTCACAGCGGAGGATATTGGACCCAAGACAGCACAAGCTCAACTTCACAGCGAAGGGGCGGCTGACTGTCAACAAACAATTTCGGAGCCAATCTCAACTTCACAACGAAGGATATTGGACTCGAGACAACACAAGTTCAACTTCACAACGAAGGGACGGCTGGTTGTCAACAAACAATTTTCCGGTTCCAGAGCCAATTTCAACTTCACGACGGAGGATATTGGACTTGGAACAATGCTACTTACTTGGATTTCAACTTCATGACGAAGGATATCCAACTCAAAGAAGGATTATTTGCCATCAAAATTGTCGAGTTCGACTCCATTCAGCTCGATGACACATCAATCGCACTACTTTCCGGTTGCAGTCGAGGTTTTCAAGTCGAGGAGAGGACCTGGGTTAGCCGTGCCTTAGTGACAAGCAAACATTTTCAAACAGCATAGCTTAAGTCAAGAAAAAGCTATCTGTCAATGAAGATTTCTCAGTTCTATTCCGATCCAAGGTCTTTAAACCGAGAAGAAGACCGAAGGGTAACAGGAAGCCACGTGCTGATTCAAATTCCGAACTACGGCTTTAATTTCATATCATTTCAAGATGAACTCGACTTCACGGTGGAGGAGTCATCCGTAACTCAATTCGACAGGGAGTTATTGAAACATCAGAGTTAATTTTCAACTCCACTGAACGAAAAATGTGTCTTTTAATCTTTGCCCTATCCCCGTTACACGACTATAGGCAAAGAGGGGCAGCTGTCAACACACATTTTTCGTCCTACTAGGATTCAAACTCCTAAAAATAGGATAGAATTTTAGGATTCAAACTCCTAAAGATATGATAGAATTTTGCTAGGATTCAAAAAATAGGATAGAATTTTATGATTTAAACTCCTAAAGATAGGATCCACAAGCACTATAAATAGCCATTGTAACTCACCATTGTAAGACAGGATTTACACACAAAACACAGAGGAAAGCACGGAAAATACAAAGACAAAGCTGTTGTAAACGATTCGAAAATGAAATAAAAGGTAGCATTTTCTTTTTTCTTTCTTTTGCATGTGCACGTTATTTTTCTTGAGATTTGGTTCGAATATCCCAAAACGTGGGTTGCGCCGATGACTAAAAAAGGGTGGGATTTCGAAGTTTCGAACCTAGATCCACCCCCGAGGCGTGTTCATTTTTTTAAAATATTTAATTCTCCCCCTAAATCATTTTTTTCCTACTTTATTATTCTTGTTATATATGCATATTACTTTCTATTAATTTTATTATATATGTATATATGTTTTTTTATTAGTGTTATTATATATATATATATATATATTTATATATTTCCTATTTTGCATGTATATATTACTTTTGATTTTCTTTTTTTATTATTATTATTTTACTTATATATATATATATATATGTTTTTACTTTTTATATATTTTACTCATTTATTTATCTATTTTATATTTATCCTATATTTTATGTTTTTATATTCTTTTACTTGTTTTATTTATTTATTTGCATTATCATTTTATTTTTATTTAGTTGTTTGTTGTGCTTATATTAGTGTTATTGTTTTTTATTTTATATATTCTATTCATTTTATATTTACTTTATTTCTTACTTAATCTCCTTATTTTATTTGTTTTACTTTATTTATCATTTATTCATCTCTTCTAACCCATATTTTGACTTTTAAAGGGTATATTTGTAAATCCGTCAAAGGTAAGTAATTTTGGATCATTATTTTATCTTTTAATTTAACTTGTTATTTTTCTTAATTAAAACAACTGGAAATTACGTAGTACCGAAAGGGCGGTTCAAGGGTGCTAATCATTCCTTGACCGTAACTGACTCCCGAGCCCGACATATTTCTGGTAAGACGCATATCAGATAAGAAATAGAGTATCCGATCAACCCATTTATCTTTAAATAAATGATCGGTGGCGACTCCAATCCACATTTTTCAAGTCGAAGCCCAATTCCGAGGCCCAACCGAAAGACGGTTACGACACTGTCCAAACCCTAACGCCCTCACACTCTCATCGTTTTGCTTTGTATTGGTAATCACATCTCTATATTGGTTATCGTCGTTTGTCCAAACCCTAACGCCCTCACACCCATTGTCCTCGTATCTAGAGCCAAAGGCATTCACAACAGTTACCACCCTCATATGTAGAAACCTAGGCACTCTAGTGTTGCTCAATTGAACACCCAAGCCCCCAAATCAGCCACATGTTCGCTCGCATGCCCTCCCTTATAAACTCCCACCCCGTACAAATCAATGAAATTCGACTTCTGGTCGTAAGGGCAAGTATCATTTAAGAAGGGTAAGGGTGCAAAGGCGATGTCAACGACAATAATGTTGAGGTATAACTTTAGAAGAGATGCTTTTTGGGGACAATGAGGACTTATTTTTTTTTTTGATGAGGATAAAAAAATAAATTTATAAATGTCCAGGGGTTATATTAGAAATTAAATTTTTTATTAACATGTCACATCGTCGTATTAACTGGAGTTAATGGCTCAATGATCAAGATAAGGCAGTTTGATAAATTGAGTGACCAAATTGTAACTTTTTGAATATATGGAAAACAAAGAGGGCCAATAATGTTGTTTTCCCATAATTTGTCTAAATATTTTAATTAATTTGACTATTTGCATATTTGAAGTGTGGCCGTAAAAATTAGAAATAGTTCAAGAAGCAATCATACATCACTTTAAGAAAACAATCAACAAAGGTACAGTGATAATCTCACCCCATATCTTAATAAATCACACATCAATGTCAACTTTGCTTTTGTTGGTTGTTGATGATAATCATAAGATGACTATTTCTTCCACCCAACCACTGCAAATGGCTGTTACTAGTCATGAGTTAACCGGCGGTGGCGGCTCAATTCCATGTGTCTTTCTACCATCTTCTATAATAATTTAGTATATTCTCATTGATTTTGTTATGAAACTAAAATTATTAAACTTCGATACATTCAAAGTGTCAAATTCGATACATCATTACATTGTGATGTTTTTATAATATATTTAATGATATAAATAATAATTATATAAATTTAAATTTTAAAATTATATTAATTATAAAATATAATTAGTATAACGGGCTAATTCAAGTGATAAGTAGTTTGATTTCACTTAATCATGTTTTATTTTTGAGTTCTTATGTATGCAAAAAATCTTTATTAGAAGAATCACCTACCTAAATCAGTTATGCGACACTGATCAATTCAAATTAATCGGAGTAAAACCCTCCTGAGCCTAAAAAAAACTAAAAAAAATAGAATAATATAATTATACATATAATTACAAAATAATGAAATTTTACACGTTGAATGGTAGTTTAATTTTGTAAAGTTGACAAATAGGTTCACCGTAGAATAATTTAATGTCAAATTGTGCCTTTATATAAACGAAACCTTCATCTTTATCAATTATCGCTGCTTTTAAGCTCCATTCTCTCTCCCAACTCCCGAGTTGTCGACTCACTTCTTCCCACGCCCGCTTTAACATGAGCTTTGATCTGCGTTGAATCAGTGTTTCTCCTCTGTTATTTCCAGTACTTCGGATTTCTTGTCCTTTTTATGCATGATTTCAGTCTTAACTCGTTGGATATTTCCAGCATGAGTAATACATTAAGGTTTAGGGTTAAGGTCATGTTTTACTCGGTTTACGATCGAGGTTAGATAATCCCAAGCAAATCATCTTTCACCTCTCAATCTTTTCATGTTCATAGTTTCTTGATTCAAGGTGTTGTTGTGTGGCTCCATAGTTTTTTTTTTTAGCATTTTGTTCATATATTTTTAGCAAAATTTTAATGGGAAAAGGCAAGAAGAGCAACCTGATAATCAAGACATGGGAGCGGTGCAAATCGATGGGGCGCGGTCGCACCAACGGAGGCGTCCCGGGTCTTTATAAGAGCAAGTCGTGGCCATCCATCGACGTCTCTCTCGAAGCTGAAGAGAAACGTCGCACGAGGAAGAGCCGAGTGGCCCCTGAAGGTTGCTTCACGGTGTACGTTGGACCACAGAAACAAAGGTTCGTCATCAAGACCGAGTACGCGAACCACCCGCTCTTCAAGATCCTGCTCGAAGAAGCTGAGTCCGAATACGGGTTCAACAGCGAAGGACCCCTCGTCCTCCCCTGCAACGTTGACTTGTTCTGCAAGGTGTTATCGGCAATGGACGACGGCGACAATACGGTCCGACAAGGATGCAGGTTTGCTAAACGTTATGGTTCGTATCAACTCCTCAGTCCACCTCGAATGATGGCGATCAATCAGATCTAAATATTGTCTATCTATCAACTTATAGATAAATATTTAGTTTAAGCCGATGTTCAATTTCGAGTACCGTAAGAGTCTATTTACGATCTGCACTACGATTGATATATACATGTATGTTGAAGTAATAATGTCCATTACCATCATGGTAGGACTGCTATTGTGCTGAAGTTATTTTGGCCCTTAAAATTATATTTCAACTTCAACCCTAAATTTTTTCTGTATTTTCCCTTGCATCCATCTTTGAAATTTCAGGTTCAATTTGATTTTGTTTAAACCACGTCGGGATTTTTTAATGAGATTAAAATGATGCAGTTGTTAAGAGGAAATTGCTTAAATAACTCAACTTGTATATTCAACTAAATAACAAAAATTGATGACTAATTCAAGTTATTTAAGAAATTGAGCCTTGGTGATGATATTTACTCCAATATAGTAAAGATGACCAAATCAAATCATGTGTAAGTTTACAATGGCTTGTTGGGTCTATTAGAGCAACTATAGGCTAATAGATGGTCCCATAAGTTGGGCCAATCATCCTATGTAGTGGCCCAATCAACAAGAGGATAATTTAACCAAGATTTGGTTGGCCCAATAACCCAGGCTGAATATTAATTTTTTTTTAAAATATGGGTGTTTGGAAATTAATTTAAAATCTAGACCATTTGCTATATTACATTGTTAAACTCGTCAGGAGAAAATGACGGATTTTATAAAATATAATAAATAATCGAAACTCGGACATTAACTCAATCAATGAGTAAGATCTTTATATTGCCAACCCTAATAACTTTGTCGGTCACTCCATTTCTATATATCTTCAATTAATTTACGATATGAGCATAAAACCGTCACTGAATAATCTATTGAGCTGAACTGAGCATTTTTTTAATAGAATAACAGCCGATACGAACTATTTCTTATAATTTAAAATCTCTACTTTCGAACAATGGAAATCCCATCGTCGTCGTCGGTACTTTCAAGTACAGATCCTACTAGAATGCAAAGCAAACAAGCGATATTCGCCCGACAAAATTGTTCTAAACTATATAATTAACAAACCATATCCATGAATGTTTAACAAGCACCTCAAGTAGATCCAATTCCCTTCCCATTGTTATTCTCTTCAGAATCTCACCTGCAAATGACAAGCCAAGGAGAAGGAATTTGCATGTGTTTCCCGTGTCAAAAAGGAAATCGACTCACCCCCGGCAAATTGAACAACTCAGGAATCACCTTAAGCATTTTTTTTACCTTTAGTTTCTGGTCTAGGAGCATGATATATAATCGAGTTGACTCGTTTCTTCTTGTTTAGTAATTCTAGCTACTGCTTGGAGCCCTGGGAATCATCCTTGTCAACAACGTGCCGCCCAATCTGCTGGTAAAACTGGGTAAAAGCTTGGGGATTCGAAATTCCGAAATGCTGATCCTGTGAAAGCCCAAGCTCCAAACCTGGAACCTGCTGGGTACTGCCATTCAACAGCGAGGAAAAACTCACAAAACCCAGATTCATATTCGGAAATTCAAGCCCCTGGAATCCGTAGTTATGGATATTATTGGCGTTTTCACTTCCGAAATTTGAAGTGGATTGCTCCGAGCCTTGAACGAACGCTGATCCAATTCCATTCCCAGCACACCATGCCCCACCTGGGATTTGAGATCTCCCTAAATTCCCACTCATCATTGCCCAATTGTTCCTCTCTTTGGCCCCCAAACCAGCCCCCACTCCCATCTTCACATGCAAACCAGCAGAAACAGATTTCCCCTGCCCACAAACAGAGGCACCGGCAGCCGCCAGAGCCGAAGCAGGGATAGTCCCGGTTCCAGTAACAGCAATGATTGACGGCTCCGATTGCTGCAACAACCACTGAATCGTCTCGCCGTCGGACTTGTGACCCAATTCTCTGGTCAACTGAAAAATCCTGGCTGCACATAAAGCCGGCATCCTTATCCTTCTCCCTCGTCCATCTACTTTCTTGTGCCTGTCCTTGTTCGAGCTTCGCTTGGGTGGTAATTGCTGCTTCTTGTTGTCATCATCTTTCATGGCTTGGAAGTACTTGGTTTCCGCTGCGGGCTGTTTGTTGTTCAAGAAGGGGGGCACGGGCACCTCTTGTGGTTGATGATTTGATCCCTTGGCTTCCATGTCAAAACACGAATGATGGGGGGGGCTCCTCTTTGATTGGCGAAGGTGAACTCGCTTGGATTTTTCTCTTCTTCCCTCCTCCAAATTTCAATGCCTTTTGCTTTGCTTTACTGTCCATATATTGGAACCATGATTTTTCAATTTAAAGTTACCAACTCAATGATTTTATGTATACTTTTTTTTCTTCCTGTTGCTCACTAAGAAATATAATACAGTAACTTTTAAGAATTAATATTCAGTATATTTACAAATTATATTAAGATAATGTTAAATATTTTATTATTATTTTAGATTTTAAATTTAGATCAGATTGATTGAAATCTCCGAAACATAAATCAAATCAAATCAAATTTGTGTAAAAATAATATATTTTTCGCTCATATAAAATCGATGGAAAACTTCACTAAATCCTACTTATTATCATCCCTTAGTAGACTGACTAGCATGAGTAAGGGTGTAAATGAACATAGTATTCGACGAATTATTTGTGAACCATTCTTATAACGTTCGTTTATTAAGTTAAAAAAAGGAAGATGGACAAAATTTGTATGTTCATTTAATAAACAAACGAACACGAACAAATATATATTTGGTTGGTTTATGTTCACGAACATACTCATTTATAAGTTCATTTATCAACTGATTTATAAGCTCGTTTACTCAGTTATCTTTTTCTTTTTATTCTTTTACAATTTAAATATTAGTGAAGATATGATCTAAATTGAACATAAAGTAAATTTTGGAGTTCAAACTGTGAAACTTAAGGATTAGTGGTGTAATTTCACTTTTTTTTCTTTGGCTCGCAAATAGAAACATAAAAAGAGATTGTTGGTTGCCGAACATTAAAACGAACGTCGAACATGTTCATGAACATTATATGATCAAACATGAACACTAAATGATCGAACACGAACACCTACCAAAATAAAAAAACGAACATGAATACGATACTGAAAATATAAATGAACATAAATCGAACACAAATATCTCCAAGTGAACACAAACGCAGCTCCATTTACAGGGTTAAGCATGAGAATCAAGCAACTAAAACACAGCACGAGGAAACTGCAGGAAAGGATAAGGATACAAGGGTGGAGGATGAGTCCCCACATTTTACGTGGTGATGTTGAACCAATCATGGAAACTACAGCAAGGTGTCTAGTGTGGTAAACTTCCTATCATTAGGAATTTATGGCAATCACGCGTCTTTCGTGCCCAAAATTGATGATCATCCCCCTCTGTAGCAGATAACAAGATTATGCTCTTGTCTCGATAAATGCAGCAATGGGCGGTTGCTACTTTATTTATTACCCACGAACTATCCATCATCCACAGCTCCATTATCTCTTTTGTTTTCACGCTTCTTCATAATCTTAACCTAATATGTGTGTTCACATTTCGATTAAAATTTATTAAAACTTTATGTGTTGTATTTAAAAATTGATTTTAATCTCTTAAGAATATCCTACTTCATATATTGTACCTAAAAGTTCATTGTAGTCTCAATATTATAGAAATAGACATTTTAATTTCTTATGGTTAAGAAAAAAGTCAACATTATCATAAATCGTTTTAATTTACTCACTTTCAAAATGTATATGGATAAAGAGATCCGTTAATTGAATGAGTGATCTAGAATGTTCATGTTTTTTCATCTTATGTGGGTTCGAGTTCCGACATTTATCTTTGAAATGAAATACTCTCAATTTAATCAACAGATGTATAAACTACACTCTATTTTTTTTCTTTCAAGAGAACTTAGACATGGGGGACAAAACATTCTCATATTTTAACGTCGGGACAAAAGAATCATAGGAAAAAAAAGTTTGGCTTTGACGTATCACCGAACTTCACTTAAATTTGAAGCTTCTTCTATCATCGTTTTCCAGAACTTGTTTCACACCTCCAATATTAATCTCACAAAGACTTTGAACGTGTATTGATTTTCTCCATATGAAAACGCCGTATGTTTTCATATTATTTAGGGCCATTGGTTTCAATATGGCCAAAATGAAATCTAGTTGTTCTCGATCAAGTATACCTTCTTTCTTTGCGTGAAGGAAAGTTGTCAATTTGAGCAGATCACAAGGTCGATCATAGCGGTTGTTCCTTGTTCGGTCACAAATTTGTCCTCAAATTTCATGTTTTTGGTTTATATAGTCAATATTTGTATGCTTTAACCACCAACTTGTCTGTCATGGGATTTTGTATTTTCTTGGTGCCTGCGATTCTAGGTCTTCATCATTTTAAGGTTGTAAATCAATTTGAGTCTCTTTCTTTGTTAAACCTACCCTCCCAAAATAGTAGGTGTCAGAATTTTTTCATCTAAAATTTGTCTGATCCAATTCAAAAATTTATGGTATATTTTATTTGTTAAAGAAATAAAATAGAAAAAAATGGAGATATGTGACGTCGAAGGTGAATCATGAAAGCTAATGGTCGTGGGGAAATTCCTCATTTTCCTCTGATATTTATGTAACAGCAGGCTTTTTGGCCACTCAAGGAAATTCCCTGAAGCTAGCAAACGAGGCATGTGATGGCTGGTTCTAAGGAAGATGCAATTTGCACAAAATTACAAAAGCTACCCGTTACTTTTTGATATGATGTTCCTTGGCAGTCGCCTCGTGACCCATTGCTCCTTTCTTTATCATTGTAAAGCAAACTCTATGTGTATATACATATAGATATATATAGATATTCCTTTCTGGCTACAAAACCAGACAATTATTTGTACCGGAATTGAGCTTTCCCACATGTCTGATTCTTGAGCATCCTTGTTGTTAACTGGCTTACCTCTAATGCTGGATATGAGCTCGCTATGCCTACGGATGTAAATGAATCGGGTTTAAATAAATAAGATTGTGTTTTTGTGTTTGCTTGTTTATATTTGAAGGTATTCATGTTCGATTCGTGTTCTTTTATTTATTTTTGAAGTGTTCATGTTCGGTTTATTAAACATTCGTGAACATATTCGTTTAGCATTCACCAACATGTTTGGAAGAGTTTAACATGATTTTCGGGGTAGTTCATAACTCACCCAAAAGCCAGACGAAGTGGGAAGGGCATGACTTAACCAATGCCAATGTGCATGGGTTTGAGACCCCTCGGCAAACAAAGCTCACTTTTTAACCTTTTATTTGCAAGATAAAGAAAATGATGAAATTATACTACTAGTCCTTATGCTCCTTAAACTTCACAGTTTGAATTCTAAAATTCAGCATGTTCAATTTAGCATCTACTTTTACCTATATTTAAAATATAAAAAAAGGAATAGGAGAATTGGTAAACAAACTTATAAATAAGTTTATTCGTGAATATAAAAAAATCTAACACGCTTCTATTTTTGATTATTTGTTTATTAAATAAATATAAAAAATTTATTTATAATCATTTATTTAATTTAGCAAATAAATATAAACAAACAATTGACAACATTTTATTGAACTATTTGTTCATTTGCATCCGTATCTAAGCTTCTTTTTTTAGGGCTAGCCCGTATGGTTGTGGGCTCACTTTGGCAACAAAAACCCAATGGCGGCATGGTTTTTCCTATGTTTTTGCACAAACTCAGTCCAGTCATGATCAGTAGATTGATGGCACAGAAAACATCCTCTGCAGCAATGTAGATAGTCCAAGGATCCACTGTGCTTGCTGCCAACCACTTACGAAATAGGAATCCAGGAAAGTGATCGATCTTCATCAAAATGGCAAGCAGAATCTTGTCACAAAGGAATAATAAATACCATTAAATGAAGAACAATCTGCATAATTAAACTTTTTCTCAAGCAATCAATAACCATTCAAGTAAAGAAGCTTTATCTGCAACCAACACCAACCTCGTGCATTTCAGTTTCATTCTTTTCGTCCTTTTCCTTCTCTTTTTGAACGTTACTCACATTTGCTGACCACCTGTTCTTCGTTTTCTTGTGCGTTTCATATAATATAACAGCCTCCTCGTTGCGTCACTTTTCTCCATTTCAGTTGTTTTCTGTCAACATGGAGAAGAGGAAGAGGAAGCTTCAGGCTCATCTACTTATTTTTCTCATCGTCTTCATTAATCTTTCGTTGTGTCGAGATGTCCCTGCCGTTTTCATCTTCGGGGACTCGGTTTTCGACGCCGGAAACAATCGAGTCAGCAAAAACTGTAGCGTGCAGGCAGATTTCCCACCATATGGCTCCGCATTTTTCCACCATCCTACTGGCAGGTTCACTAATGGCAGAACGGTTGCTGATTTTATTTGTGAGCTAGCTCCCTACTTAATTCAGTTGATTCCTCTCTCCTTTATTTAATTATTTTGATTGATTGAAAATGGAATGTATGCAGCACAATTCATTGGCATCGGAATGCAACAACCGTTTTTGGAGGCACAGATGGCAGTGATGAATGATAGTAGGAAAGGTTACCCATCAAACGGAATCAACTTTGCTACCGCTGGGAGTGGTGTTCTGCCAGGAACCAATAAAGACTTGGTTTGTCACACATATTCTTCATTCTTATTTAGGCTTATATATCGAATTAAGCGATAATTAAATAAGTTTTTGAATGAAATGTTGTATCAACTGAGTTCTTATTCATGGCATGTCACAGGGAGTGACATCAATCCAAGAACAACTACGGCAATTCCAAACATTAGTAGATCAAAAAGAGATAAACAAAAGTACAGTCGAGAGATCTCTTTTCTTCTTGGAATCAGGATCCAATGACATATTCAATTACTTCCTCCCATTTGATCCCCCAACACTAGATCCAGACGCCTACGTGCAAGCCATGATCAAAGAAGTAAGTAACATAATCGACCAAATTTACAATGCTGGCGCTCGCAGAATCGCTGTATTTTCACTAGGTCCAGTGGGGTGCGTTCCGGCAAGAGCCCTCTTACCCGGTGCCCCTATCAATCGCTGCTACGGAAAGATGAATGTCATGGTTAAGAAGTACAATAAGGCATTGGAGAATTTGGTAAACGATATCCCCACAAGACACACGGGTGCCAACGCTGTCTATGGTGCAGTTTATGACACCGTCCAGCACTTCCGAGCAATTCCAACTCGTTACGGTACAGCATAAAAGTCACTTAACAAAACCCATTTTTTGAGAGACCAGAGGTGAAACCCTGATAAGTTGTACGAATGTGCAGGTTTCTCGGACGTGAGTAGTGCCTGTTGTGGAGATGGACCACTTGGAGGGCAGCTGCAATGCGGGAAGGAAGGGTATAAAATTTGTCAAAATCCTGAAGGGTACTTGTTCTGGGATTACTTCCATCCAACACAACATACCTACAAGCTTATCTCCAAGGCCTTATGGGGTGGAAAACAATCTCGGATTAGGCCCATTAATCTCAAGACTCTAGCCAATCTTACCCAAAATTTCCTTGCTTGATTACCTACTATCAATATACTACTACCAAGAAAATGTGCATTTGCTGTTATTTGTAATGATGATCTGTTACTTGGTGATGTTGCCAGACTATCATAATCGAAACATGGGTTGACGATAGAGAAACACCATCTTCTCTCATATGCTGGGATGAAGGAGACTGTGGTTTAGCCTCTTTGCCTGACAAATCCCCAGCAACAGCTACGTGGGCAAAGCAAAGAGCTCATCAACTAAAGCAGTAGCATGCCCTAACTGAAATGAAAATGAAAGACAAACCTAAATGTTTAATTACCAACAAAGATCATATATATATATATATATATATCAATGAGCAGATGCGTATGCCTAACTTAACAACCATGACAATGGCTCAAAAGGATTTCTGATTGGAAGAATCATTTAATATTTTGGTAATTGAATAGAAGGTTTTGAAATTTGACCTGAAATACGATAAAAAAATGGATGAAAAGAGGTGGTTATAGTTGTGATAAAGAAGCAAACACCTAAATAAATAAAGGAAGATGATGACTTCCATGATCTTCCCAAATGGGATGTAAAGTCTTGAAAATTTTGTAAAACTCTCTTCCCCCCCCCCCAATACACAAAATCACATCTCCATTACCTTCAATTACAAGCAATTTATATAATCAAGCACCTCTCTAACCGCAACCGGCCCTTGCCATTTCATGTACCTTTCCTAATTTCATTATGTTATGTATCTTTGTTTCATTTTTTTTCACAATCAAAATCTTATTCATTACACATCAATTAATATAATCATAATGAACCATCAATACATATTCATATATACATATAATTATAATTAAAATAAAATTTGTACCGAGTTGAAGCCTCAGCTGATGCAAAATATCATGATGCAATCAAACGGCCCACATCATCCAGCGACGTTTAATCTTCATACCCATATGGCCATATATATAGTTTATAAAAATCACAGCTTAGATTAATTATATGACTTAAATACCCTTAAGGAAATGCTAAAGAATGTATTGAGAATCGAATTGGTAGAGAAACTATAACTACATGACAGAAGGGTAATTCTGTTTAAACGGTTTTAGAAAAACCAACTTTTTCTTTCCCTTTTTCCCTCCAATTCCCTCTTGCTATAAACCTAGTCGCCGTCGTCCTCCATTTCTCAAGTTCGCTCGCCCTTTCTTTTTCCCTCCCTCCAAAACAAAGCAATAAAAAAGTTTCTCACGCTCTTTCTCTTCCGCTGTTCTGAAGAGAAAATCGGAAGTGTTACGGTTCAGGTTCAGGTGAGCTTCAAATTTTCTTGTTCGATCGCTATTGCTTTGATTGGATAATCGATATAATGTTTGTTAAATCTTTCTGTTATTCATTTGCAGATGCAAAACGACAATTTTACAACCGTCTATGGCGACCTCGGAGGCAATCTGCCGAAAGATCACCAGAGCGGTGGAGTTTACTCTTCCTCCACCACAACCTCATCCTCCACTTCCGTCGCCTCCGCGTTCTCGCTCTACAATCCCCGCATCCTCATGCAACAACATCAAGATATGATCAACCGCCACAACCTCTGCCTCACTCGTCTCCGTGAAGCTGCAAAGGAAGCCGAGGCACTCCGTCAAGAGAATTCCTCGCTTCGATCTGTTAACCGAGACCTCAACAAGCAACTCAGCGTGCTGATCCAAGCCTCTGTTCAGAATCATTTATCGTCGTCTGATTACGACACCTCGCCGTTTGAGTTGGCGAACGCGTTGCAAGGACTTTGTCTGGGTAGTGACGCTGTAGAAGAGGCGGATATTTCTGATGAGAGTCCAACAAGCGTGATGGAAGGTGCGGTGGACGTGGAGCGGGTTATGTTGCCTAAGAGCATTTCCGTTAGGTCTAATGGATATCTGAAGATGATGAACCAAGCTGGGGCGAGTCATCGTGGTAAAACTCGTGTACCTACTCGGACTGGAAATGCCTCTCAACTCAGTGGAGCGGTGAGTTTATTTTTTTCCTTTTCGTTTAATCTTTCTAATTCTGTTTTGATGCAAATTCGTTATTGCAATTAGTATATTTTTGTTTCATATTTATGGATTTATATTTTTTTATTAAATTATGGATTTATATTTAATAAGTGAATAAAGATGATATATGTGCTAAAAAAAAGAATAAAGATGATATAACACGTCATCCAAAATAAAATTAGCTGAATTTATTTTTTAATAAAATTTTGATTGATGTGTTGTTATATAATTTAGTGAAAATATATAAAATTATATGGGATTAAATTGTATCAAATAATAAATATTGCTGTTTAATAGTAATAGCAATAGTTTCCTCTTTGTTTTTCTTCTATTTAATGAATGCCTTCTTTTTGCTTGGCAATGAAGCAATAAACCAACTAAAACTCAATTATGTTAGATGCGCGCTTTATTATATATACGACTGAGATTTACATTTTCTTCCATTTAGAGAAATTAGATTCTTTTACTTCCGGTGTAACTAAAATCTAGTGAAATAGTCCCAAACTTGTTACCCCTAACAAGAAATCTGTTTAGACGTTTAAGATATGTGTATTGTTGCATCTATTATCAACGGCCTTGTTGCCACCGGCAGTAAATTGGGAAGGCGAATGATATATGTGTGTGTATAGTAAATACGAACAGTAATTGGTTCACAATCGATTCTTGTACTTCTTCGTTACTTAAAATGGAAGCGCTAACTAATCAATTTAGATGAATGTGCAGCAGAAGGTGTACGTTCAGGGAGGGAAGGAGGAGGAAGAGCCGCTTGAGTTGGAGGTCTACAACCAAGGCATGCTCAAGACTGAACTCTGCAACAAATGGCAAGAGACGGGTGCCTGTCCTTATGGTAATCACTGCCAATTCGCTCACGGCATCAAAGAGCTGCGCCCCGTAATCCGCCACCCTCGCTACAAGACTGAGGTTTGCAGGATGGTCCTAGCTGGTGATGTCTGTCCCTACGGGCATCGATGCCATTTCCGCCATGCACTTACAGAGCAGGAGAAGTTCATGGACCACCTCAAGCCCAGGACCAGGTAAATCATGGGTGATCATCGTATAACAGGGTTGCTTGTTGTAGAGGTCAATCAATGTCCATAGTATAATCCTGAACACCCCCTAAAAATTGGCTAAAAGTATTATATAACGTAGGAAGTTTACAGGTATGGTGGGCGTATATACGATTGGAATATTAGTCATAAAAAAAAAGAAAATAATAATAATAGAAAAGAAACGAAGTTAGTAGTTGGAGATTGGGAGAGGCTTTGTGGTCCTGGAAGGTGGGAGATTTGTTGCGGTTATTAGAGGTATTCGTTTTTTTCTCTCTCTTTAATATCATTGTTTCTTCAAGAATGCCATTAAAGGTCCTTACTTGGGATGTTTGGTGTGCTTAAACCAATCCAACGTGGAACAAAAAGTAAAGAAAAAACATTAATAGTGATGATTTTCTTCTTTTTTGCAATTTAAGCATCTTCTGATTGGAGCCATATGATATTGGTTTCCTTAGCCTCTTAGAACTTTGATTTATGATTATGTGTATGATATGATTGTATTGCATGAAAATACCATATAATACGAAAATAACGCAAATATGCCATTAAAATATAAATATATAATACTTTAAATATGATTATAAATATTAAAATACTAAAATAAAATAGGAATTATCAGACTTAATATAACTCATGTTTTGAAAAGAAAAGAGAAAATTAAACTCTTCTTTTTTAAGTAAAATTTGGCAATATATGTACTTGATGACATTGTGTAAACATATATGGTGTAAGCTTTTAAAGTTCTCTGTATTATCTCTCTCGGCATTCAATATCAGTTGATTGGTGATGTTCACGGAATAATGGAATTTTGAATTAAAGCCTTATACATACACAAATTCTTATTTTATTTGTGCAATAACATAGGTTTGATGATATGTGTGTATATATATACTCACTAACACACATTCTTATTTCCACACTAACATAGTTTTGATTGATAAATTTGGTTCAGGTATAGAAGAAAAGAAAAAACGGGTCTTTTCAATTTGTATGATTTGATAAATGGAGATGCAAGCTATATGTGTAGAATAATTATTGGGTACATTTCTTATATAAAAAAACTAAATGTTATATTAGTTGTTGATTTTTAAACTTTTATAGGTGTTAAGAATAATTATAATTAGTAAGTGAAAACAGTGTCGTAAAAGATAAAGAACACACAATTTACGCGAAAATCTCCTAAAAGAATCACAATCGAATGAAAAAAGTTTATTATGATGTCGAAATTACAAGAGATTTACGAATTAATCGAGGTTTAAGTAATCTTAATAGATATTATTTATTTATAAAGTTAATTGATTAATAAGAAAGAAAATTTATATTACAATGATTCTTATTTGACACAAATTCATATTTCTAATCATACACTAATAAAAGAAATATATCCTTGTGTGGATGGAAACGTACACATTCTGTCGAAACTTTCCCCCTCAGTCGAAGGATACGAAACAACTCGATTAGAGGTGCACAAAAAATCCGAATATTCGATTTTGGGTAAAAAATATCCGAAACCGGATTTTGGAAAAACCGGTTTTTTTACCGGATTAAAAACCGGTTTTTTTGAAACCGGATAAAAAACCGGTTTTTTATCCGGATAAAAAACCGGTTTTTTATCCGGATAAAATACCGGTTTTTTTAAAAAACTGATTTTTTATCCGAAAAAATCCGGTTTTTTTTAAAAACTGGTTTTTTGCAAACCGAAACCGGTTACACCATCCGACCCTCCAAACCGGTTAAGATCCGAACCGATTTTTTTAAAATCCGATTTTTGGGTTAGGAGAAAAAACCGGATCGGTTTTTATCCGATCCGGATTGAAATCCGGCTTCTGTGCATCTCTAAACTCGACTGTAAGGAGAGGAACTGAAAGTCTCGAGAATTTTAAGGAGTCGCCTCCTTTAAATTGGAGTTTTCCAATTTTTAAAAGAATCATGATTAAAAGAGTCATCGTCAATATTTAGTTAGGATGTGAATGGACACCCAAAATGATTGTCATTTTAATAAAACTTAATTTTAAAAATTATCAAAACAACATTTTTAGGCTTGTGTATCAAAAAATTGAGTTAGAGAGTCCATTACACGTGTGAAAAGATTAACACCCCATAACGTCCTAAACTCTAAAACCAAAACAAAACTTAATTTATTAATTTGATAATTCCAAGAAAGCATGACAATATCTTACTATTTCCATTTTTTTTAAGAAAACAAGTCTTTGTGTTTCGAACATATGAAAAACCCTTTTCTTACTAAAATCAAAATATCATAGCTTCTCTAGTAATTCTCAATGTTAATTATTATCAAAATATCATTTTTCCCTCGGTAGTACAAATTTTATGAATTATCAATTTTATGCGACACTAAATGGGATACCACTTTTATTCTAAACGATCAAGTTAGACCCTCTAGCCTCGAACCATGAGACAATCCTTCACAATAATATAAAACAAAAGAAATATTACCCTAGTCAAATTATGAAGTTTTATGCAAAAATGATGTTGTGTCTAAACCTATATGCACGAAACCATATTGATAAGTTACCTTTCTATATATATATATATTAAGTCATTAATTAATAATTATGAAGTTTTATGCAAAAATGATGTTGTGTCTAAACCTATATGCACGAAACCATATTGATAAGTTACCTTTCTATATATATATATTAAGTCATTAATTAATAATTATAAAATACCTATTTATTATTAATATATACATATTAATATGATAATAGTGAATATAAAAATAAGGACTATACAAAAAATACCATAGATACATATAAGTTAAAACGAATTATAAATGTACATAGGTAAATATATGGTAATGTCTAACGAAAGATAGACTAATATAAAGCTAAAAAACGATGTGACCAGAAATTAAATTAAAAACTTAACAAACTTGGTTAAACTCAAACGGAAATGTTGACATAATCATAATATTGTAGTTTAAAAACACGAAGAAATATTTAAAAATTTGGTAACCAGCCAACTTATGTTAAACCGGTTAACATTATTGAGTAACGTTATTGATTGTGCCTTTTTATTTTTAACCAATTACCTTATAAGTATGAGTAACATTTATGGTTGCGCCATGTTTTGTTTTTTACCAATTATCTTATAAGTAAGAGTAATGTTATAGGCCTTGTTATTTTTAACAGGTTACCTTATAAGTAGGAGTAAGGTTAACGGTTGCGCATTGTAGAAATGGGCTGAGGAACTACCGCATTTTGATTTGTTGCAACCCGAAAAGTAGGCATGCAAGTAGAATTGTTACGCAGCTGAGATAACATCAGATGAAGGGACAAGTTTAAAAGGGTCATCACCAGAGGAATCATCAAAACACTGAATCAAGAACAATATATATATATATTGAAGTCCACTGGAATCAAAAAAAGAAAAAGCTTAGAGCAAATAAGGGAGAGATAGGAAAGAGAAAATAGGGGAAAACCTTTAACAAGTTCCTCAATTAAAAGAATCACGTTACCTGATTTCCAAAATTAGATGATGGCTGATTAGTAGCAAAGTTGGTCATAGCACAAGAGTTGGCACGGGCATCAGAATCAGTAGCATGGTTTTCAAGTGTATAGCAAACGCATCAAACAGAACATTCAACAAGTTTATTTCAACATTGATCGAAGCAGAAGGAACAACAGTAGCAGGGACACAATTGCTGAAGCAGGAGCAGTAGTTGGAGCAACTGTAATTGATGAGAAATAGATATATTACTTGCAATTCTAGGGGATAAATGCAACATTCAACAAGATTCCAATCTAAGTGTAAATTATAACCTATTGTAATTTAAATTAGGGTTTAATGTTGTAAAGTTATATGTATATGTTCAAGTAGTTTAGATAAGAGTTGTAAAGTTATAAGAGTCCTAACTAAGTACAATTCTTGCATTACAATCTATAAAAGACTTGCCGTTTTTTTTAAGATTGAATGAGATTTCCTGAAGAAACAAATTGTTTCTCAGCCTACAGATTCTGAAAATAACTCGACCAATAATCAGGTTTCTCAATCTGGTTCTTCTCTCAACATAACAGACGCCTATCCAATCTGTATCACACCACAAATTGAAGGGTCATAATTATATTCAATGGTCCAGATATGTCAAGCACTACATGAAAAGAAGGGGTAAAGAGGATGCAACTAACAATAAAAGGCTTAGATCCGGTCCAGTTCAGTTAGAGGTATGAGCGCGTTAGGTAGAGAGAGAGTGAGAGAAAAGTCAAAAATTTCCATTGATGCTGATGAGGAATGGACAGTGTGCATTGATAATCTTAACAAAAGTGTTTCCAGAGGGGTGTTAAGGAATTATTTTAGTCCTTATGGTCAGATCTTGAGGATTTTCATCCCTCATTTTTTAGAAAAACCAAATTATAAATCTTCTACTTTTGCTTTCGTCCAATATGCTAGTGAGGAAAGTAGAAACAAGGCAATCCGGTTCGTGAATGGGAAGTGGCTTGATGGAAGAAGAGTCTCAGTAGGGGTCGCTAAGTATCAAAAGGTTAAGAGAAGGGAAGCTGTGGAGGGGAAGAGAATGTTGGAGATCAGGTCTGAGATTAAGGATGCATCAGGATCGGGGAGGAGAGCTGTGTCGTTGAGAAGCTTGAGAGATGACAGATCGTATAAGGATGTGGTGAACTCTGATTATGATTTGAGAAGGAAAACAGTATCAGGGGTAAACTTGCCGGGTAACAATCAGAGTATTCCAACTGTGAGAAATGTTTGGGACATGCATATTCCATCAGATAATTCAGAATGGTTTAAACGTTCATTATCAGGGATAATGAAGTCTTCTTTTGAACATAACTCGGTGAAGGACGCTCTGGAGTTAGAAGGCATGGAAGTTCAAGTTGTTAGATGGGGTTATGCATGGAATGCATGCATAATTACTTTTAACTCGGTGGAGGAGGCCTCACAGGTATGGATGAATAAAAAGGAAAAGTTGTTCTTATGCTTTGATTGGTTAGCCCCAGTTTTGAACAAGGATGGAGTTCCTTCGGCACTTAGCCAGATTGAGTTATTTGGATTGCCTTTACTGTGCTGGAATGAGGCATTCTTAAGAAAGCTTACAAGGAAGTGGGGTCAGTTTCTATGTTTTAACAAAGATTCAGAGAGCAGATCGGACCTCTCGACGGTAAAAGTTCTGCTCAGGGTGGAAAGTCCTTATGATGTTCCTGATAAAGTGACGATTGGTTCGTATGGTAGATCGTTCAAAGTTACGATCACACTGGGATCTGTTTTGATTAAACCAGAGGAAGAAGCGGGAAGGAAGAAGATGGAGAAATTTTCAAAAAAAAGGAACAGTTGTTATGTCGTGTCTGAGGAGGGATCTGGCAGACATCCTACTCTGGTTGAAGACAGGGATGAGTCTACAGAGGATGCTAGGCTTAAAGTCATTTCTTGGTTGAATTGTGGGCAGAACAGTGGAGTGAATGGAGTCAGTGGGGGACATGTCCAATCGACAAAGTCAACAGCAGATAATTCTGATTGTGGGATGTCAGGTTTCTTGGAAAATAAGACAAGTCAGAACGACAATCACGTGGGCTTGGGATTGAGAGATACAATTGATCCGGTAGACTCAGTGCAATCTGAGGAAAATGAGGCTGCATTATTTCGAAATAAAAAATGGGTTCCCAGTGGGCCTACATTTAATTTTAAATGGGTTGGGGACAAGTTTGTCTTACAGCCCAATGCCAGTCCTGCAATTCACTTGAGTGCTGCTGATGAGGGGGAGGATAGGGGGCGAAAGTAAATTTTCAGGGGGAGAAGGAAGTGAATCCATGTGAATAGGGAGATGTAATAAGAAAGCATAACTACATTGGTTCTAAAAGCCTGGAGGGGGACCACATTATTAGTTTGCAGATTGATAATGATGTAGAGGGGTTTAAATGTACAGTTGATAAATCGGAAGGTGGTAAGCAGATGGAGAAGGTTATGAATGATAATTTATGTAACTCTAATGAGGAAATCTTCTCAAGTTCGAGTATAAAGAATAGAAATAATGAGATTCAATAGGGAAGTACTTCATGCCACAAGAAAGATGATCAGTTTAAAGCAAAGGAAAGTCATCTAGTTCCTATTAATCAGCAGGATCAGTGTATTCCTCGGTCTAAAAGCCTTACTAATAAACGAAAGTTGAGAATTGCACCTCGTCGATCGGGAAGTGTTTGCTCGGATACTGAAGTGTCTATCAGCTTCTATGATAGAGTCTATAGAAAGGTTCTTAGAAGTAAGGTCAGGGAGTCAGTGGAGCAAGCCAGGGAGGTATCTCAGTCTTCCCAATCTTCTGTTAAAGCTAGGATTAAAGTTGCTGCTACTAGGGTGGTCTGTGAAATGTTGGGGATCACCTTTAAAGGGGGGCAACAATTATTAGAGGAGGAGATTTTTAGGATGGAATTGAAGGGGTCTTCTCAATGACCCTGATGGTTTCTTTGGTTTGATGTGGAGTTTATGATTGTCAATTTTATGTCTAAGTTAAAATTAATCACATGGAATATTAGAGGTCTTGGGAGAAGAGAAAAAATAAGAGCAGTGGCCAGACTCGTTACTAGAGAGAAGCCGTTTATCCTATTCTTACAGGAGTCAAAACTGAATGTCTGTAAAAGCAATTTATGGAGGAGGTTAGGAGGTAATCTATTGAAAGGTCATGTCTTTCTTCCAGCTGAGGGTTCTGCAGGAGGTCTGATAAGTTTGTGGAATGAGAATGTTTTTGTGGTCAATGCCGAACATAAACATAGCAGATTCATAGCATTATCAGGAAAGTTCAAGCTGTATAATTTTGATTGTGTTTTAATAAATGTATATGGTCCAGCAGTAGAAGAGGATAAAGAGGAATTCTTTAGGGAGCTGATGTGTTTTGTGCAGTGTTTAAACCTAACAGTCTGCATAGGAGGGGATTTTAATGCTTATTTGGATACAGAGGAGAAATGCGGTGTAGCTCAAAACTGGCATTCTATGGATTTGTTTAGATCATTTGTTCAACATTTTAATCTTATGGATTTACCATTAGTTGGAGGAAGATATACTTGGTGCAACAACAGAGAGTATTCTACTTGGGAAAGGCTTGATCGGTTTATTATCAGTGGTTCTTTCCTAAATCAATTTCCTAATATGATCCAAAAATTGTTCCCAAAATCCCTTTCGGATCATAATCATGTGGTGTTAGTAGAAGAATGCAACAATTGGGGACCAAAACCTTTTCGATTATACAACTATTTGTTAGAGGAAGACGGGTTTGTTGAGTTGATTGAAAATTCATTGTCTACAGCAAAGGCGAATGGTCGATGGGGTCTATTTTCTTTACTTCAAGGAACAAAGCAGAAGATCAGGGATAGGCTCAAAAGGGGATTTCTGAAAAAAATTCTCAACTAGAAAACTTGATTATGGAATTCAAATTGCAAGGAGGGATTTCCATTCAAGAAAGGGATTTGTTGATTCTGTCCAGAAATGAATTATGGAAGTTGAGAGTATTTGGTTACAAAGATCAAGATTGAAGTGGATCAAGGATGGGGATAGGAATACAAAGTTTTACCATTTAACAACATTAAATAGAAATAGAATGAATTCAATTTTGGCCCTGAGAGTGGCTGATGAAGAAATTTCTGATCCGGAGAAGCTGAAAAAATTTGTCTTTGAGTATTTTAAGGAGAACTACAACTCTAAAAATACGCTGGAGGTAGAGGACATTAATCTCAATTTCATGACATTATCAGAGGAGCAGAAAAATGGACTTGAGGTACGGTTTTCAGAACATGAAGTTAGGGAAGCAGTGTTTCACTCGGACAGCTCCAAAGCCCCGGGTCCAGACGGCTTCACGATGGGTTTATTTAAAAAATTCTGGCATGTTTTGAAGGATCATTTAATGAAGTTTGTGTATGACTTTCACAGAGGAATGAGTTGGGAGCATGGGGTCAACCATGCTTTCATTACTTTGATTCCTAAAAAACTCAACCCTGAAGTTATTGAAGATTACAGACCAATTAGTCTTGTTGGAAGTTTGTACAAAATTATCTCTAGAATCTTATCGAGGAGATTGGTTTCTGTTATTAAAGTTTTGATCAGCCCATTGCAATTCGCCTTTATTCCGGGTAGGCAGCTTATTGATTGCGCTTTTATGGCAAATGAATCTATAGATTACTGGAGGAAAAAGGTAGGAAAGGAGTTGTTTTTAAAGTAGATTTTCGCAGAGCCTTTGACTCGGTCGAATGGCAAATTATTTTGAGGTTATTGAAGATAATGGGTTTTGGAGACAAATGGATTTCTTGGATGGATTATTGTATTTCTTCTGCTTCAATTTCAGTCCTAATTAATGGTTCCCCAACTCAAGAATTTCAGATGGGCAAAGGGCTGAGACAAGGTTGTAGTCTATCTCCTCTTCTGTTTAACATTGTTGGTGAGCTATTGAATTTAATGTTGAGTAAGGCTGCTACCCTTGGTCTTTTTGAAGGATTCAATATTGGTATTGAAGAGAATCTTTTTAAGTTGACTCATCTGCAGTTTGCAGACGACTTAATCTTATTTTGCAGAGATTCCTCAACTCAAATTCTGAATTTAAAGAGAGTATTGAGGGTATTCAGTTTAATTTCAGGGCTTCATCTTAATCTATCCAAGAGTAAATTGTTTGGTGTTAATGTGGCAGAGGACAAATTAAAAGATTTAGCACTGGAAGCAGGTTGTGGGGTGGGATCTCTTCCTATGACTTATCTAGGTCTTCCGATAGGAACAAAGAAAAATTCAGAGTTATTGTGGGAACCAGTTTTACAGAAAGTTTTCATCAGATTAGTAGGTTGGAAAGCTACTTCTTTATCGTTGGCTGGAAGATTGGTGTTGATAAAATCAGTATTGTCCTCCTTACCTATTTTTTACCTCTATTTTCAAAATTCTGTTTAAGGTCAATCAGAAAATTAACTCAATATTGGCAAGATTTCTTTGGGGCAAAGAATCTGACAAGAAGAGGGTTCGTTGGGTGAATTGGAGTACGGTTTGTCAACCATTGGAAGAAGGAGGCTTAGGAGTACTGGACTTGAGTATGATTAATAGAGTTTTGCTAGGGAAATGGGTTTGGAAGTATGCAAATGACAGACTCTCAATGGAAAAAACTGATTTGTTGTATTCATAATGTCAGTATGGAGTCTCTGTCTATAGGCAAGGTTGTTTCTCTTCAAGATTCATGGGTTTGGAGAGGTATTCGGAGTAACTATGAGAAAAAGGACAAGATTGGGGATTGTTTGAGATCCAATTTGAAGATCCAAGTGGGGAATGGTAGGTCAATTGATTTTTGGAATGATAATTGGGTTAATGAATCTACTCTTAAGATTCAATTTCCTAGAATCTATGCTCTGTCAACTAACAAAAGGAGAAAATTGGTTGAATTTGGTGGATTTGTAGCTAATGGTTGGGTTTGGAACATTCAGCTAAGGAGAAATCTTTGTGATTGGGAATTGGATCGGTGGCTTTCCTTAATGCTTTTGATTGACAACATAACACCGAATGAATCAGTGGATGATTTTCTGGTAATAACCCATCACCACTTGCAGACCAAGAGAGAAAATCTTCAACCGAATCAGTGAGTTTTATTTCCTTTAATTTCATCATCAAATCCAACCATTGTTCCAATTCCCAATCAGACAAATTCCTCATAGTAATAATGTTCCACTGCCAACCATTCAACTCAAAGCTTCCAAAATCAACAACCTTACCCCATTTGTTATTAGAGAGTGCAAAAATTCTAGGGAAAAGAATTTTTAAAGGAACCTCATCCACCCATGGATCAGTCCAAAAAGATATGGACTTACCATTGCCTACTTGCAACTTCGAAAATGATCTATGACACTCGCCCGCCGAATCATTCTTCAAAAAATTATTAGCAATACTTCTCAAATTCCAAGAAGATTTTGGAGAAATGACGTTACTAATAGACATAGTATTACTACTAATATTTTACTTACTACATAACACTCTTTTCCATATGGATTCCTTTTCATTTGCGAACTTCCACACCCATTTCCCCAATAATGCCCGATTAGAAAGATTCAAGTCAAGAACCCTAAGGCCACCACTATTCATTGGTTTGCAAACTGTACCCCAACTAACACAGTGGATCTTCCTTTTATCCGCACTGTCACCCCATAAAAATCTGGCCATTAAGGAGTTTAATTTATTCCCAACTTTGCAAGGCATTTTAAAGAAAGATAGGAAAAATATTGGCAGGGAAGTCAACACTGACTTTAATAGAACTGTCCTGCCAGCCAGGACAGAGAAGAAGCTTTCCACCCAACTAGTTTTTGAATTAAAATTTTTAAGGACAGGATCCCATAAAGCTTCAGAATTATTCTTAGCACCGATTGGAAGACCCAAATAATTTGTGGGAAAACGATCAACAGAACAACCCACTTCCAATGCCCAGTCTGATAAAATATCCTCATCAACATTTACACCAAAAAGTTTACTCTTCTTTAAGTTTAGATGCAACCCCGCCATTATACTGAAAATCCTCAACACCCTTTTGACATTTTAATCTGAGTAGTGAAGCTTGGCAAAAATGATGAGATCGTCGGCAAATTGAAGATGAGATAACCGAAGTGAATCTGTAGAATTCCCAATCACAAAACCTTGGAAAAGTCCTTTGTCAACTGCTTTATCTAGCATCAAATGCAGCAACTCACCTACAATATTAAATAGGAGCGGAAAGAGACTACACCCTTGTCTTAGTCCTTTAGCCATAGTAAACTCTTCCGATGGGGAACCGTTCACCAGAACCGAAATTGAAGCAGAGAGAGACATTGTGAGATCCACGACACCATCTAATACCAAAGCCATCTCCTTCATTGCTTTGTTCAAAATCGCCATTCAACAGAATCGTATGCTCTGCGAAGTCACTTTGAAAACAACCCCTTGTAACCTTGTTTCTCCAATAATCGATCCCTTCATTTGCACAAATGCACAGTCCAACAATTGTCTCCCTGGTATAAACGCAAACTGGAAAGGGCTGATAATGTCACCAACACAGCTGCTAAGTCTCTTGGATAGAACTTTGATAGGATCTTATACAAACTTCCTACAAGGCTAATTGGTCGATAGTCTTCAACACTTTCCGGATTTAAAATTTCGAAATTAGGGTATAAAGGCGTGATTTACTCCATGCTCCCACATCCTTCCGAAATAAAAATCGTTAAAAAATTCCAGTACTTGCTCCTTTAAATCTGGCCAGCATTTCTTGAAGAAACCCATTGTGAACCATCCGGACCAGGAGATTTAGAACTGTCCGAGGATGCTATAGCTTGCCAAACTTCCTGTTCTAAAACTTCTCTATTTTTGTAGACTGTTCTCTTGACAGTTTAGAGAAATCCAGAAATAAGTTCTCCCACTTCCATTGTAGAAATGGAACTAAAGTTGTCTTAAAAAAATTAGAAATGTGGGTCTTGATCAGAGACGGGTCTGAAACTACAGTCCCATTAATCTCAGACTAGTAATTGCAATTCTCCTTTCTGTTTAAAGCACACAAGTGGAAAAATCTAGTATTTCTGTCCCCTCTTTTAATCCATCTCGTTCTTGCTCTTTGAAACCAAACACTTTCTTCAATCCTGTACCTCCAGAGATTCGATCTAAACTGCTTCACCTGGTCCCCACTCCTGCGGAGAAAGATTACTACCTTGTGCCTTCAATTCTAACTCATTAATTCCCTTCTAAAGTTTCAATAGAGTCTGAAATCCCATTTAATTTCCTGCTTGACATTTCTGATTGACTTTTTAGTTCCTGTAAAATACTGAAGATACCCCTTCTATTATTCCTTTCCATCAAGTCAACCATTGAAGATTTACCAATTCCTCGAAGCCTCTTCCTCTAATAAATAATTGTAAATCTGATGGTTTAGGACCCAGTCTACATACGAATCCTCCAATGACACCGGATTATGATCTGATATGGACCTAGGCAGTAGCCTTTGAACTACGTTCGAAAGCAGGTCAAAAAATTACCAGAAATTAGAAACTGTCAAGCCTAACCCAGGTTGATTCTTCCCTGTTGTTACACCAAGTAAAAGTTCCTCCCACCAACGGAAGATCAATAAATTTGTTTGCTGCAGAAAATTCCTAAAGATATCAACAGAATGCCAGTTTTGAGACCTTCCCATCTTCTCAGCCGGATCAAGATACGTATTAAAGTCCCCCCAAATACAAAGTAAATTCGATTGGGCTGAACAAACTCCAATAATTCCCAGTAGAATTCATCCTTTTCAGATTCAGTGGAGGGACCATACAAATTCATAATCACACACTCTTCAACAACATTCTTAAACTTCCCAAATATTGCATAATCCTGCTACTTAAGTAACTACTGGACACTTTAAATTCATATCATTCCACATTACCAACAACCCCCTGCAGACCCCAACAGCTGTGTGAAAAATACATCCCTCGAGAAGACAACCCCCTATCCTTCTCCTTAGAGCCATAGAACAGTTTTCTAGCTTTGTTTCTTGAATAACTAGAATGCTCGACTTATTCTTCCTGACCAACTTAGCTACAGCTCTTGTTTTTTCCTTCTTCCCACCCCCTTATGTTCCCACGCATATATTAATGTTACTCATAATATAACAAATATCCCAAAAACCTCAAATCAAAAAAACACAATAACAATCCCCTTATTTCAACAATTCCTACTAACCCCAATCCTTCCTCAAGATCAATAATTTTATCTAAAAATGCCTTCTTGCCTTCTTTAAATGAGATCCCCAGCATCGTACTAACCTCCCACGTAGCCCTGCTTCTTCCAAAACATCGAAAAGGAGGAGAAGAAACTGTGTGTAACTAGCCACATCAAAGCTTCCCTAGTCCAAATCCTTCTCTGTCCGCCTACTCCTTCCCTATAAACTGCTCGAGAGTAGTCCAAACCTCTCCATCTTTGTTTAGACAATATGCATTCTTTTCTCCTTTGTTTTTCTGTTCCTCCTCTCCTTTTTGCTTTCAAGCTTGTTTTCTTGGTTTAAGATTACAATAGAAACCATTAAAATCCATATAGAATTTCATACCTGAAATTGAACCACATGGGTCAAATTCATCAAGACCTCCACTTGATGATTTCAAGAAGCTGGATTATTAAGATCAAGGGCGCCTTGTAAGGATTATTACTAGCAGGAGGAGAAACCCCCAGGAGCAGCTGCTACAGAAGTTTGGTCAAACCTATCATAAAAGATATTTTTCAGTGTGCATAATCAAGCAAAACACAATTAAAGTAACATGTATTTGAAAAGAAATACTTTTCACTATAAGGGTTACCTTCATCTCGATATTGATCATCAGCTCTAGCACCATTTCCCCTGACAGAGAAGACGATCAAGCTTACATTCCTCATGTCAAGCAAACACAATGAAAGTAACACAATTGTTTGAATTCCTATATTGCCTACTGATCATCATCTCTATATCCCTACTCAGGTGTCTTCCACAACCATTCTGATCATCATAATCTCTGTTTCCATAATGATTATAATCATATTGTAGTCATATCCTCATGACTCTTGCCTATACATTCCACCTATGATGTATTTTGAAACCTGTAGAACAAACAAGAAATATTATGGAAGAACACAACATCCCCATTAATTAATTTTTCATATCAAGAATTAAACTCCAAGGAATATCTTTACAAACTGTTTACAGAAGAAGGAATGTAATCATAAACCCGCTGATCATGATCAAGAAATGTAACTAGAATGTACATAATGGAACTGAATAAAAAGAACTATATTAAGCATGGAGCTTTTCTATTTGAGTTCCATTTATATGCTAATATCTCAAAGTTTTATTACTCAAGAAAGAAAGAAAGAAGAAATGGATGTCAATTGGTGAATGCATGAGCAATGAATATCTTACAATTAAAGGCAAGGATGAGAAAATACAGCTGCACCTTTGGATAGAAAAACCACTTTAATCAATCTCAAAAAATTTCCATGGACAATTAATGTGACATCAAAATGTAACTGAGTAGCATAACCGTGTCTTTCATTGTTAGTGAACAACATATACAACATAACACATCAAGTATAAACTTCAACCCTATAAAACATATAATGTTTCATCTAAACCTTATAAACAAATACATTTCATCTTAAGAACCATGAAAATCAAGGTTAACAGACCAAGAGTCCATACTGTCAAAGAACAATTATCAACAAACAACAAACAATATTCGATATACTTGTTGTAGACAGAGGAAAACTTTTACCACCATCTAAACCAATATCTCCCTCAAGATGATCCATTGGCAATTAGTTTCTAATCTTCGGAATTAAAACAGATCATGTCAACTTTAGTTAATATATTCTTAAGTAAAAAATATGAGTGAGAAAGTTTGAGAGAGAGTGAGCGTTTTTCAAAAGGAAGTGCTTCATCAGGCAAATCAGTGCCTGGAGTTTCGGGGTTGCTTTCATTGATAACCTTAGTAGGAGAGTGCCTAGAAGTTTTATGGAACGCTTTAGTTATCATGGTAGAGTGATTTATTCCGTTCGTTAATAGAAGACCCAATTACAAGGATTGTACGTTTGCTTTGTGCACTTTGCAAGCAAAGAGGATTTGCTCAATGCAAAGGAAAGGATGAATAGTGTCTTGGTTAATGGGAGGAGAATATCGGTGTCAATTGCAAAATACCAGAAGAATAGTGTTTCGAGGAGCTCAGAGCGGATTAACGTAGTGGGGTCTAGAGGTACAGGTGCAGAGGTGGCGTTAGGAAAAGACCTTATCCACAGTTGATAATGGTGGGAAGAATGGGCTGCTGAACAAGTTTTATGATGGTAGGTCTTATAAAGATTCGGTAGTGGGAGCGAAAAAGGCTGAAAGCCAAAAAAATGGGCAGCTATGGTATTTCAAGGGAGGTGAAGAAGTCTTTCGATGTTTCATTCCAATGGAGGAAAGGACTTGGCTGAGATCGTCCTTAACAGGTATCTGCAAGGCATCTTTGAAGCTGACTTTGTGCAGAAAGCTCTAAGAACTGAGGTAATTAATGTCAAGGTGGTAAGATGGGGCTATGCTAAAAACGCTTGCTTAATAGTCTTCAGGACATGGAAGAAAAGTTGCTTTGATGGAAGAGAAGAGGAGGCATTGTCCTTCTGGTTCGAAAGGTTGGAGCCCATTATGGATGAGAAGTGTGTCCCGTTACCTTTCTGTGCAGTGTCCATGATTGGGGTTCCTTTAAATGCTGGTCAGCCTCTTTCTTCACAAGCTTAGCTTCGAAATGGGGGCAAGTTAGTTAAGATTCAGGAGCAAGCAGTTCAAAGAGCGGATTGTAGAGTGGCTCATATGTTAATGAGTTGAAAGTCCATTTGATATACCTCCACAGGTTACCATTACTTCTCTATGGCAGGTCGTTTACTATTAAAATTAAGGTGGAGGGAGTTGAAGATTTTTTCCTGTGTTGGATGATGTGGGGAAGAGGTCGAACAGTGGTTCCTTGGGAGGAAAAAACTCATCGGATTGGTGCCAAGGGGTTGATGTCGAAGGTCAGGATGGCTGCTGGGCAAGCATGTGATTTCAGATTCTCATACCAGAGTTGCAGCATGGGTCAGGGATTCTCCACATGGGGGGCTGGCTTGTCAATGGGGTAGTGGCAGGAAATGTTGACTTAGTATTTTTGAGACGATAATCAATGTTCTAGGAGACAATATTAGGTGTTGTTCCAGGTCAGCAGGAAATGTTGGGGACTTTATTGATGGGAGAGAAAGGGAGTTGAGCATGGGGGTTGATTCCTTGGAACCTGAAAATGCTGACCAAGATAATGGGCTTAATATTGGTTCTGACAGGTTAGAGCTTTTTGGGCCTGGTCAGGAAAGTCCAATGTCAAATAAAAATGGTAATAAGCCTGCTAAGTCAGTTAAAGGGGGTGTGCAGATCAGGATTTATGGGTGGAGTGGGGAGCTTTACAGCAGGCAGTTCTGGAGGAGGCAGAAATAGAAATGTTTCAATGCAGAAAGGATCCAGTGGTCGTCAATCAGGACTCTGTTTCGCAGGAGGTGTTCTTTCCCTCCAAAAATTCGAAGACACCCAAATTATACTGCTACCACTTTCTGCGATAGAGTATACAACAGGTCAAGAAAGAAGAGTCAGTTTTCGGAGTTTTATCCAGTGGGAGTGAGGAGGGCAAGATTTAATCCTACCTTTCTACTGGAGGTGATTTCTTTTTAGTAATGGTAGGTGTATCTTGTGTCACTTGGAATGTTAGGGGTTTAGGAAGGAAAAGGCTAGGCAGTAAATAATGTAGTACTTAGTAAGAAACCTTCGTTTCTTTTCGCAAGAAACGAATTGGGAGTCGATTATTCTTTCTTTGAGAAGGACGTTGGGGGTAAGTACCTTGGTGGCTTTGCTGAGTCCCCGTAAGAGAATTTCAGGAGGAATTTTGTCGTTATGGGATGAGAATTGGTTTGTTCCTCGGTTGTTGAAGATTTCTCCCAGGTTTGTAGCTTCGAAAGGTGTAGTCAAGGAGAGTCAAGATGAATGTTGTTTGTCAATGTGTATGAGCCTTCGTAGATGCGGATAAGAGGCGTTTTTTTGAGGAATTACTCAGTTTTATTTCGAAGTGGACTGTCCACTTGTGTAACTGGAGATTTTAATGCTCATTTGTCTCAAGATGAAATGAAAAGTCAATGACTATTTTTTCAACCAGGTTGTTCAGGGACTTTCTGTTCCAATCAAAATTATTGGATTTACCTTTGGTTGGAGGGAGATACACTGGGGGTAACAACAGGGAAGATCCTACGTTCGTGAGACTGGATAGGTTTCTAGTTTCGAACGATTTTCTTCGTCTTTTTCCCCGGACATTGTACAGGTTCTTTACCAAAATCTATTTCGGATCATAATGCAGTGGCGTTGGAATCCAGGAAGTTAAATTGGGGTCCGAAACCTTTTAAAACTGTTCAATTACATAATGGAGGAGGAGGGTTTTATTGAAGCTGTTGAAAGGAAAATTTAAGATTTGAAGAGCAGAAGAAGCCAAGCATTGAAGTGCTTCTTAGAGATACAAAACAAGAGATCAAAAGATGGTCTGATAAAAGCAGATTGCAATTACCAAAATTGATTGACAGCAAGGAGAGGTTAATTTCGACCTAGAAGCTCAAATTCAACTAAGGAATCCAATGGTTTCGAGTGGATATTCAAATAAAAAGCGATATGGACGTTGTACAAAAAGAACTAATTTGGTTCCAAAAATCAAGGGCGAGTTGGATCCAGGATGAAGATCGGAATTCGAGGTATTTTCACCATGTGCTTCAAATAGAGGGAGGATCAACGCTCTAAATACTCTGGATGTGAGAGGAAATGTGATTGAGGATCCTATAATGATAAAATCGAGCATTTTCGATTTCTTCAAGGAGGCTTACAACTCCAAGCCGACGGTTGAGGTGGAGAGCTTGAGCTGAATTTTAACAGGTTATCGGAGGATCAAGTTACACTTTTAGAAAGGAATTTCTCTGAGGAGGAATTTGGGAGGCTATTCAATCATCGGATAGCAACAAGCTTCGGGTCGGATGGTTTGATATGGGCTTTTTCAAGAAATTTTGGTAGATTTTGAAAGGAGATTCAAAGTTTTTCAGAGATTTCTATTAGGGGAAAAAGTTCGGAAGGTGTGAACCATTCTTTCATTACTCTAATTCCTAAGAAGACAAATCCGGATGATATTGAAGACTATAGACCAATTAGTTTGGTAGGGGGTTTATACAAAATTTTATCTAAAGTTTTGTCAAGAAGATTAAGAATGTGCATAGGAGAGTTGATTGGTCATTCCCAATTTGCTTTTATCTCGGGTAGACAGATTTGTGATTGCTCCTTAATTGCTAATGAAGCCATTGATTTTTGGAGGAGGAAATGAAGGGAAGGTATCGTGTTTAAAGTGGACTTTAAGAGAGCGTATGATACCGTGGACTGGGATATTTTAATCCAAATTATGGAGTGTATGGGGTTCGATCGAAGATGGAAGTCTTGGATTCTAAAATGTCTAAATACAACTTCAATTTCAGTTCTTGTTAATGGCTCTCCCACATAAAGCTTTAAAGTTTCGAGGGGGCTAAGGCAAGGATGTTCTCTATCCCCATTGCTGTTTAATTTTGTGGGGGAATTTCTGAATCTTCTGATTTCTAAAGCAGTAGAGTTGGGGCTATTCGAAGGTTTTCAGATAGGTCACGATAATTCTTCAGTAATGCTATCTCATCTACAATTTGCCGATGACTTGATAATTTTCCGCAAAGCCTCTAAAAGTCAATTGGAAAATCTGAATAGGGTTTTAATTGTTTTCGAGTTATGTACAGGGCTTAAGCTGAATCTGTTGAAGAGTAGGATTTTCGATATTAATTTACAAGAAATAGTTGTGGGGATTGGCTACCTCTATAGGATGTTTTCGAGGCTCTTTTCCAATGGAGTATTTGGGGTTACCCTTGGGAGCTAGGAGGAATTCTATTCACCTTTGGGAGCCGATTGTGAATAAGTTCTACAAGAAACTTGCAGGCTGGAAATCAGGTTATTTATATTTATTTTTTGATAGGAATAGGAGGTCTCATTAAAACCTCCCTCATAGTTGCCTCTTGAGAAGAGGCAACTAGCGGAAGGAGGAAAAGAGTATCTCAATATATTAATAAACCAGAATTACATACAACTATAATTTACAACCTCACCCGAAATAAAATACCAAACATAACCACTAACACTAAGGACATTCAACCTATCCCCTCCTTAGCTAACTTGTCTACCTCCCAATTACAAGAAAGGTTGTTTTGATAAAATCAGTCCTAAATGCTCTTCCAAATTACTATCTGTCGCTTTTCAAAATGCCAGTGGTTGTTCGGAAAAAATTAGAATCTTTAATGTCTAATTTCTTGCGGTGTTCATTGGCAGGAAGAAAAGGATCCACTGGGTTAATTGGTCTACTGTTTGCAAAAATAAAGAATTGGAGGATTGGGTATTGCAGATCTTGACCTTCGGAATAGGGCTCTCATGGACAAATGGTTTGGAAGTTTGGTAATGAAAGGATTCTTGGTGGAAGGCTACGATCTGTTCTAAGTATAATGTGATAGGAGTCAATTGTTCTAGATGCTAATTTGCCTTCCAGTACATCGTGGATGTAGGAAGGTATATTAAAAAACTATCGGTTGAATGACTTTTCGAGATATGTTTTCGAATAACCATCCCTTGAAGACTCAATTTTCAAGAATATTTGCTTTATCGGTTAATAAGGATGGGGTTGTGGCTGATTTTTGGGTGTGTTTGTAATGGAGAGTGGATGGGATGTTCACTTAGGAGAGATTTATTGGACAGGAATTTGATCAATGGTTGCAAATGATGGTACTGTTGGATATTTTCGTCCTTGTTGACAAGAGAAGATTACTTTGCTTGGAAAGGAACTGGGGATGGCGTGTTTTTGGTTAAGTCTTGTAACAATGTTTTTTCAAGATTATCTGAGCCTGATGTCGCCTGGTGGAGATTGTGGGAAGGGGTTAGTTCCACCAAAAGTGGAGGTTTTACTGTGGCAAATTATTCATCAGAAGCTGGCTGTTAAATTTGTTTTATTAAGCAGAGGTGTCAAAGGTATCGAGAATCAATAATGTGTTTTGTGGAGTGGAACCTGAGTCAGTGAGTCATTTATTCTTTTCTTGTGACATGGTCTGAGAGATTTGGGTAAAATTCTTACGGTTGTGGAATGTTTGTTCAGTACTACCCAATAATCCTAAAGGGTTCTTGCTTTCTTGGGTGGAATTGAGACCTAACTCGGATATTTGGAATTTTATACCATGAGCAGTTTTGTGGACTGTCTGGATTTGCAGGAATCAGATTGTGTTCAGAATGGCAAGATGGATAATGTATATCCAAGTTGACAACCTTATGGGTGATTTAACTTTAGCGGATGTGCATCGTTCCCATACTAAGTGCAATTGCAGAAATGAAGTGGTGTCCTCCTCCTTCGGGTCATTTTAAGATGAATGTTGATGAGGCTGTTACGTTTGATTGAGAAGAAGTGGTATTGGAGGTGTTCTTATGGATGCTCATGATAAGCAGTTAGCTTCATTCTCGAGAGCGACAGGTCCGAGCACTCCGATTATGGCTGAGATTTCTGCGATTAAAGTAGGGTTAGAGTTGTTTTTGATTCAGTTTGGAGGATAAGGGGACTCTGATATTGGAAAGTGATTCATCTATGGCTTTGAAATGGATCAACAACCAATCAATTCCCGGTTCTCTATGTTGATTTGATCAGAAATCCAGAAACTATTATGCAGTTTAGTGTTCTGACTAGGCATAAGCAGATGTTCTAATGGGGAAGCTGATTGTTTAGCTAAATCTGGAATAGGGTAATGAGTGTTTTGAGGTTGTGGTTTTTGAGTTTGGGTTATTGGGTTGTGTAATGAAGGTCTTCGTTTTGTGTGTTTAGTTTCGGTTGTAATTCTTATGTTTGGTAATAAATTATGGGCACCCTTTCCCCCTTCCAATGTTTATTGTGTTTCTAAACACAATAACTAAGAAGGAGGTTTTTAATGGGGCCTAATTCCTATAAAAAAACATATCATGTTTGCAATCATATGCAAAAATTAACATTTAAATTTCCAAAATCAAATTGAACAAAATAATATGAAGACAATAGCATTCAAAATAGAAAGCTTTCAGATGAATAATGGCTTCCCTTAAATGTTATAAAAAAATAAAGACTACAGAAAGAAATTAAATATTCAAAAATAGTAAATCGAGAAAGAAATACTCTACATACATACAAACAATCCAAACAGGTTCAAGTATTTTATTTTCAATTTAAACAAAATTGAAATAAGTCAGCAAAATAGTCTTTCAGGTTTTAACATTAAATTGTCACTAGTATGTAACTAACAGTAAAAGGTTTATGCCCCAAAATGTAATATCCTATTTAAATGACTAACAATTTGGTAAGAAACATGTAATTCAAAGATAGAAAGTACTAAAACCTACCACATAAAAGATAAATTAAAAAATAATAAATGGAATTGAAGTAACAGCGCATGTCAACCTAATATTTGGACAACTCAGAAAATTACATTTTTCAGGGCATATGTCAGAAAAAGAACATAACATAAACCATGTTTCATAATTGAAGATGACTATGACCATCTAGTAATAGAATTGGAACATATCCATTGAATTCATATAGAATTTCATACCTGAAACTGAACCACATGGATCAAATTCATGAAAGACTCCACTTGATGGTTTCGAGAAGCTGAATTATTAAGATCAAGAGCTACTTGTTATGATTATTATCGCTAGTATGAGGAGAAACCCCGAGCAACTGCTACAGAAGTTGAAATCCTATCATAAAAGACATTTTCATATGTACCATCAAACAAAACACAATTGAAAAAAATGTCTCTAAAAAGATACCTTTCACTATAAAGGGTTACCTTCCATCCAGAGAGTGATCATTAGCTCTAGCACCGCTTCCCCTGACAGAGAAGATCATCAAGCTAATTAGATTCCCCAACATGTTTTGAAAGAAATACCTTTCACTATAAGAAGGAATATGAATCTCACTTACTGCTTCTACATAACTGCAAGGAGCACTGACATTTTGGTGAGAATGCTTGTGCTCTGTTACCTGAACAAAGACATTTTTTTTTCTTCAGAAAGTTCAGAAACAAGAAACCAACAAATAAAAGATTGATCAACTACAATTGAAGTTTAGCCTATATGGTTTCAGAATACACACTTAAGAGGTGGGATGCAACAAGTCTAGACTTTAAATTTCAACACTTGTAAAGCATCAAGCTTCCCCTGGAAGAGAAAATGATCAAGCTTATTTCATGGTTACCTTCATCCTGAGAGTGATCATTAGCTCTAGCGCGCTTCCCCTGACAGAGAAGATGATCAAGCTAATTAGATTCCCCTGTCAAGCAAAACACAATTAAAAGTAACATGTCGCTGAAATACCTTGCGCTATAAGAAGGAATCTGAATCTCACTTACTGCTTCTACATAACTGCGAGGAGTACCGACATTTTGGTGAGAATGCTTGCGCTCATGCTACCTGCAAAAAGATATTTTTTTCCTTTAGAAAATTCAAGAAACAAGAAACCAACAATTATTGTCTAATAAAGATTGATCAACTACAATTGAAGTTTAGCCTAGATGGTTAAGATGCACACTTAAGAGTGGATGCAACAAGTCTAGGCTTTAAATTTCAACACTTGTAAGCTTCGCCTGGATGGAAGATGATCAAGCTTATTTCATGATTACCTTCCATCCTGAGAGTGATCATTAGCTTTAGCACTACTTCCCCTGGAAGAGAATATGATAAAGCTTATTTCATTCCCCATGTAAAGCACAACAAAAAAGTATTAGCATCGTAACCGAAATTTCACAAGGATCTCAAGTATCAAATCTGGACATGTTATATGGTGAAATGACTCCCAAAAGCACATTTGGATAGACAAATTCCATAGAAGTTACCAAGTAATGCACATTTAAAAATCCTAATCTAGTGAAATAGAAACTATTATATTTACACCTTCATTTGATTTTTTCATTATACTTTAACAAAAATTGAGACATTTCAACATTATTTAATAAACAATATAATGTTTCATGAATGAACATAGCAATATAAAGATCTCAAAGTAAATAAGTGCATACCAACAAGAAGAACCATCCTCGTCAAAAGCATGGTCTTTACCATAACTCCTAAATCATGTGCCTATTGATAATCATCAACACTTCTTCCTCGGTAGTCATCATCCCTGCTGTAGCGGTCTTCATAATCTCTGCCATAACAATCTCCATCACAATTGTTTGAATACCCATATTTGTCATATCGAACATCATATTTATAACCCTACTCAAGGTCTCTTCCATGACCATTCTGATCATTCATAATCCAAGTTTTCATAACAATCATAATTATATTTGTCGCCATATTCCCTGAACACGCTTATACAACCCCATTATTTAATATTCTCATATCAAGAATGAACTCAAAAGCAATATCTTTAACAAATTGTTAACAGAGAAGAAAGTAATCATACAGATCCTACTGATCATGATCCAGAAATGTAACTGAAACGTAATAATGGACTGAATAAAAAAAAACTAGATTAAGCATAGACCTTTTCTATTTGAGTTCCATTTCATTGCTAATATTCTAAAAGGTTTATTACTGAGAAAATACAGTTGTACCTTTGGTAAGAAAACCACTTGAATTGGAACACAGAAACCATTGAACTCATAGAATTCATACCTGAAACAGAACTGGTAGGATCAAATTCATCAAAGTCCTACACTTGATGGTTTCAAGAAGTTGAATTATTAAGATCAATGGCTGCTTTGTTAGGATTATTATCGCTAACATGAGAAGAAACCCTGGGAGCAACTGCTACAAAGTTTGGCAAACCCTATCGTAAAAGATATTTTTCAGTATGCATCATCAAGCATAACACAATTGAGAGTAACGTCTCTAAAAAAAAATACATTTCACTATAAGAAGGGTTACCTTCCATCCTAAGTGTGATCATTAGCTCTAGCACTGCTTCTCCTGAAAAAGAAGATGATCAAGCTAATTACATTCCCCATGTCAAGCAAAACACAATTGAAAGTAACGTCTCTGAAAAGAAACCTTTCACTATAAGGAATCTAAATCTCACTTACTGCTTCTACATAAGTGCGAGGAGCGTCAAAATTTTGGTGAGATGCTTGCGCTCCTGCTGCCTGCACAAACTTTTTATTCAGAAAATTTAAGAAACAAGAAACCAACAATTATTGTCTAATAAAGTTTGATCAACCACAATTTAAGTTTAGCCTAGATGGTTTAAGAATGAGAAAATACAGTTGTACCTTTGGAGAGAAAAACCACTTTAATCAATGCAATAAAATTAAGTCTACTAAAGTTCAACCCAATAAATCAGATAATGTTTCAACTAAACCTTATAAAGCAGATACATTTTCATCTTAAGAACCATGTGAAAACCAAAAGAAACTTCACTAAGAAAATGCTTGGAAAATCATATAAAACTTGAGACCTTGAAATCAATGAATCAAAACAACAACAAATACAAAGATGCACCTTGATATCAGCACCACCAGAAAATTTTGAAGATCTTTGATAGATGAAATGTGGCATCCATGACAAAGTAAAGTAGTGCATCCCCTAAACTTGTTCCATTCTTCACTAAGAAAATGCTTGGAAAATCATAATAAAACTTGAGACCTTGAAATCAATGAATCAAAACAACAACAAATACAAGATGCACCTTGATACAGCACCACCAAATATTTGAAGATCTTTGATAGATGAAAATGTGGCATCCATGACAAAGTAAGTAGTGCATCCCCTAAACTTGTTCCATTATCATTTTGGTCCCTGAGAAGCTTCTTTGCTTTTGAGGTGAAATTATAAGAAGCAGCAGCAAAGATTCCCCCATGGACTGCATTTCAGTTAAAAAATTACAATTGATTCAATTCATATACCACACAATAAACGAGATAACTAGATCCTAGACAATTACTTTGAAGTCTAAGCTTCATGGATGCTATAGCAATAAGGAGAACCTTCAGCACTTGCAACATTACAGTCTACTGAAAAAAAGGTTAACATAATTCTTAATTCATGGATTTTATTAGAAATCTGAATAACATTCCAATGTAGCAGGTTAGGAACCCATTAATGGTTTGCAGTGAACTTTACATTTGTATTATGTTTTAATAAGTATGTAGATAAGAATATACGAGTAAGGCTTAAGAGAAAGTAAACTATTGCGACAACAAAATCATCCTCATGTTATCTGCTTAGTGATGGTTTGGAAGGAATAACATGTAAAATTGTATCTTTTCTTGATATTGATCTCAACTAAATATACCCAATGCTATGTTAAACATATATTTTCTTGGCAAACTTGACTTTTGACACTTAGTTACAAAATCTGACGGACCAATACAAGTAGACACAAACATAGACAAAATAATAGAGATATGTATAAAATTATTGATTATTTAAAGAGAAAAAAAAAGCTCACTTGAGAACTGATACTAGGCCTAACGATATTGCAAGAACATAGCCATCCGAATTTCCAGAACCTGAAAAAAGAAAAAGAATTCGAAATAGCAGGTCAATCAAGTATTCCAACTAAAACTTCATTATAATTATTTATTACAGACCCTAGTTAGTTACAATCAGAGTACAAGGAAAAGTCAAGATGCCATGTTCATAGGAAAACTGTAAAACTTAACAGAATGAGCGGAACTTAGATTACTGAATTCATAAACTTTGCAACAGATATATAAATTTCTGAATATGCATATAACATGAACGCCGACTTGTGATCTAAAGCAATATGCATTTAACAGAACATGGTATCATTGATGTATGAAACAATGAGCAGCACATTAAATAGATTACTTCATATTGTTTTTCAAAAAGGCTTATGACACGGTTGATTGGCCTATCTTATTAAAGGTGATGGAAAAATGGGATTTGGTTCGACTTGGATTAGTTGGATCAGGAAATGTGTCTCTACTGCCTCCATTCAGTGTTAGTCATGGGTCTCCAAACCGAGGAATTTTCGATGGACAAGGGGACTAAGACAGGGTGTTCACTTTCACCTTTGTTATTTAATCTAGTAGGGGAGTTGTTGAATTTATTAATACTGCGGGCTGTTTCTGAAGGACTATTTTCTGGTTTGACAGTTGGCAAGGAGGAAGGGTCCTTCAAGCTCACATTTACAGTTTGCTGATGATTTAATTATTTTCTGTGGAGCTTCGAAAACACAGATTATGAATGTGAAAAGGGTGCTCAGAGTTTTTGAGGTTATGTCAGGGCTGCAACTTAACCTAAAGAAAAGCAGTTTGTTTGGGATTAATATTTCCCAAGAGGAGGTTCAGACCTGGGCAGCTTCTATTGGTTGTTCTGTTGGGAGTTTCCCTCTAACTACCTAGGTCTCCCATTAGGGGCAACTAAGAATGCATCTGCTATTTGGGAACCGATGGTGCAGAATTTTCATACTAAATTAGCGGGTTGGAAGGCTGCTACACTATCATTAGCAGGGAGACTGGTTTTGATCAAATCGGTTCTGTCCTCACTGCCTACGTATTTCCTGTCTATGTTCAAGATTCCAGTTTCAATCCTTAAGGCTCTCAACTCGATCATGTCTAATTTTTTATGGGGAGGGGGAGGGGGAAATGGTTCAAAGAAGATTCACTGGGTTAAATGGGATGATGTATGTAAACCTAAGAACGAGGGTGGTCTGGGAGTCCGGAATCTGACTAGTATGAATAGAGCATTGCTAGGGAAATGGTTTTGGAGATTTGCAAATGAGAGACACTCTGTTTGGAGGAATTTTATTTGTAGCAAATACAACATTGATTCTTCAAGGTTACTGTTTGATAGCAAGGTTTCTCCTCAATCTTCTTGGCTTTGGAGATCGGTGGTTAACAATCATTACAAACAAGACTCCTTGGCTCTAAGTTTCGAAGTTGTGTAGTTTTTATGTTGGAAATGGTAAGCTTATTGCTGAAGATTATCCGCTTCAGTTTTTTTTTCCTAGATTGTTTTCGGTTTCTTCTAATAGATCTGGTAAACTTTGTGAGATTGGGGAATTCCTTCCATCTGGCTGGGTTTGGGATGTTCAAGTTAGAAGAAATTTAAATGATTGGGAGGTTGAACAATGGTGTAACTTGGTGAGCTTCATCTCTCCCTATTCTTTGTCTAAAGATTCCAGTGATATTTTACTTTGGAAAGGCAGTGGGGATGGTGTTTTTTCAGTCAGTTCTTGTATTAAAAGTTGTGCTTCAGGATCAGATGTTTGCTTCTGAAATAACATTATTTGGAGAGGTTTGGTACCCCCTAGAGTTGGATCTTTAATGTGGCAGGTTTTGCTTTGCAAGCTAGCTGTTAAATCCGAACTGATTAAAAGAGGTGTTCAAGGTATTGAGGATGATTTATGCTCTCTTTGTAAATTGGTTGAGGAAACTTCCACGCACTTATTCTTTACATGTTCGGTTGCATGGGCTTTGTGGTACAAATTTTATAATTTTTGGAGATTTAGTTCTGTGTTTCCTGCTGATGCAAAAACCTTTCTTACTGCTTGAGATGAGTTGAAATCAAATTCTTCTATTTGGACTTTCATTCCTGGGGCTATCATTTGGACCATTTGGAAGGCCAGAAATTTTATTGTCTTTGAAGGGGGAAAGCTTGATCAGTTAGAGTTATTTTTCTTATCACGAGTTAGGTTGGCTTCTTGGTTTCTAGCTAAGCACAAGGACGTTTCTATTCATAAGGATTCCTTGATTATGGATCCTTCATTAGCAGACTCCTACTCGCCCTACAGTTCTATGAAGTCTTCTTCATTCCCTTGGGTACCTCCCCTTCTGGTTTTTTTAAATTGAATGTGGACGCAGCCGTTAGTAGTGACTGGAAGAAATCGGGTATATGAGGTATTTGGAGGGATCATTCAGGTTTAGTCCTAGGTTCTTTTCAAGAGTCAGCTGGTCCGGGACCTCCGACTATGATCGAACTTAAAGCTATTCAGAGGGGTATTTCATTATATGCTTATGCTCAAGGGAGGGTTAAAGATAGGCTGATTGTTGAGAGTGATAGCAGGGTTGCAGTAGACTGGATCAACAATGTTAATTCATGCCCAGTTGTTTATGCATTCGTTGTTAGTGGTATAGTTGACAATCTTAGATTTTGGGGGGGTTATAAATTGGGTTGCAAGGTCAGCTAATATGGACGCCGATGCTTTAGCAAAGGCTGGATTAGGCTAATTTTTATGTTGTTTGTTGTTTCAGTTTAGCATTTGATTCCTGTTCGGGTGGGATTTATAGACTGTTGTAAGGGTTATTTCGAAGAGATCTATCGAGGTTGTAATCTTATTTTCTTTAATGAAAATCTAAGGCGCTCTTTTCCTCCTTCCAATGATTAAGGAGCTTCTTTTCAAGCTCCATTAATCAAGAAGGAGGTTTTTAATGAGGCCTTCTAATCTTATCAAAAAAAAAGAAACTGGTAGAAACCGATAATCCTAATATACTAAGAAACCTTTTGCCAAACTCTCTTTATCATCTCATATGGGACAGAAGCATGAACCAGCAAAAGACCAAAACAATAACATGACCCAACTCATCGAACTAAGTGAAATGCAAAAAAAAGCAAAAATTCATTCTGAAGCATGGAGAGATATTAAAGGGTGGAATTGGAGGTGTTTGAAAGATTCGAATTGCTCTACTTTAACTACCTTCTCTACTGTTGTGGGACCATTTCAACCTATGTATGCCGAGCTGAAAGCCATTAAACAAGGCATTGGGTTATTCATTTCATCTGAATGGGCATTGAAGGGAAGATTAATCTTAGAGAGTGACTGCAAAGTAGCAGTTGACTGGATTCTGTTGCCTTCTACTATCCCATCGTTTTTCAGTATTTTGGTAGGGGAGATCGGAGCCTTAATTTCTGCTAGGGGTATTTTTTTTTTGATAGAAGATGAGGCCTCATTAAAAACCCCCTTTTTACCCTCCATGTTGTGAAAGTAACATGAGGGCATTGAAAGGAGGAAAAGAGCACCTATAATTTTATTGATCTGAAGAATAATACATTGTCAGCCCTTATAACAAAGTAAACCTTCCCAGAAAGCATAAGACTTAACAACCACTATCTGCTGGGGGTATTATTGTTAGATGGATTCCTAGGAGTTGCAATTGGGAGGCAGACAAGTTAGCTAAGGAGGGGATTGGTTGAAAGTTTAGAGCTTTTTTGATGTTTTGTTCTGTATTTTATTTCAGGTTTTTTACTGTGTAAGCTGTAATCTTGTAATTATGGTTTATCAATAAAATGAGATACTATTTTCCTCCTTCCGCTAGTTGCCTCTTTCACAAGAGCCAACTATGAGGGAGGTTTTTAATGAGACCTCCTATTCCTATAAAAAAAAGAATTAGATTTAGAGATATGAAAACCTTGTTGAAGAAACCGAATTAGCTTATTCAGAAACAGTCGTCTAGCAAAACCAATGAAATCAATAAAATTTTGCAAAAAAAAAAACCAAAATTGTATTTGTAGTAGCAAAAACTTAAATTCATATATAGCAACTGGAAGTCGGTTTCTAAACCAAAAAAATTGGGGGGTCTAGGGGTCCCTAATCTAGCACTAATGAACCGAGCCTTACTAGGGAAATGGGTATGGAAGTTTACTTCTAAAAAAAAGTCTTAGTGGAAGAGAGTTTGTGTTGTTTACAATCTGGATCCGAATTCCATTATTATGGGGAATTCGTGGTCAGCTCGTGCATCGTGGATTTGGAAAGGTGTGGTGAAAAACTTCTTCAACAGTGATGATTTTGGAGATTGTCTTAGAAGGAATATGCGTTTGAAGGCAGGAAATAGGGAAGCTGTGGAGTTTTGGAATGATGTATGGTTGGGTGATGTTCCCTTGAAAATTTTGTTTCCTAGACTTTATGTTTTATCAAATAATAGAGCGGGCAAAGTGATGGAGTTTATGGTGAATAATGCCTCGGGTTGGGTGTGGGACATCCAAATGAGAAGGATGGCTGATTGGGAAATTGAACAGTGGTTGCAGTTGATCACTATGTTGAATAATACCTCCCTTTTTCCTGCTGAAGATGATTGTTGGATTTGGTTAGGGAATGGGGAAGGAATTTTCACAGCAATGTCTTGTATAAACTCTTTCTTTGAACAAGGTCGTTTGGAGCAGAATCATGTGAATTGGGAAAAGAATATTTGGACAGGTTTAGCTCCTCCAAGGGTGGAAATGTTTGTTTGGCAATTAGTGCAGCAAAGAGTACCGGTTAAAGAGGAGTTAGCTCCCTTTTCCCATTTATTTCTGCATTGCAGGGTTGTGTGGGGTCTGTGGTCTTCCTTTTTGAAAATGTGGAATGTGTCATTGGTGATTCCAAAGTGTACCATGGACTTTATAATTTTGTGGGATGATTTATGACTAACTCTTTGATTTGTAAATTCATTCCTAGGGCAGTGATGTCGTCAGTCTGGAAATGTAGAAATGAGATTATCTTTCAGAAAGGAAAGCTGGATTTGGTCAGATTATCCTTCATTGTTAGATTTAGAGTGGCTTCCTGGTTTAGTGCTCGTTTCAAGGATGTGGGCATTCCTTTAGATTCTCTAGTAGGTGATTTGAAACTTGCAGATTCGGCAGGCAGATCAGGAAAGGGTTGCTATCAATCAGCTTGTTGGGTTCCTCCACCGTATGGGATTCTAAAGTTGAATGTTGATGGAGCGATGGTTTCGGGGTGGGGAAAAGGAGGTATTGGTGGTCTGATTCGGGATAGCAGTGGACTATTGCTACAGTGGTTCTCTGAATAAGTAGGGGGTGGTCCTCCTATCTTGGCAGAGTTGGCAATTAAAAGAGGGATTTGTCTTATGGAGGAGTTGGATTTTGTCCCAAATCAGAGATTTATCGTGGAATCAGACTCATCTAACGCTCTGAAGTGGATCCAGAATCCGGGTTTAAGCCCCCCTTTGCATCTATCCTTGGTGAAGGATATAGTTTCGAGTTTGACTGGAAAAGAAATTATATTTAGGCATATTTTGAGGGCGGCAAACTGGGAAGCTGACAAACTAGCTAAAGATGGGATAGGGTGATTTTTGAGTTATATGATCGTGCTGATTAGCAGGAATTGTATTTTCCTGTTTGTTAGGTGGTTTGTTTTAAGTCTTATGTTCTTCAGTTGAAAGTTTAGGAGTTTGTTCAGTCTTTGTAATTTGGCTCTGGTAAATAAAAGTTTCTTGGCACTCTTTTCCTCCTTCTTTGTTCCGTCATGTTACCTTCATAACATGACAGGGCTTGCAGGAGGTTTTAATGAGGCCTACTTTCTATCAAAAAAAGGTGAACCCCATAAATCCCAATAAACAGTTACACCTCAATTTCTCAATATGTTTTAATGCATTAGGGAACACAAAGATATATTCAACAAACAAGCTTGTATTTTCTTTTTTCACTTTTTTTTTTCAATCAAGCATAAAGAACTTCCAGATGTCATCTCAAGCAATCTTAAAGAGTAAGAATACCTTTAATAAACCTAGACGAAGATATGGCCATCCATAAGCATAGAATATTGCTCTAAATAATGATGCATTTCAGCAAGAATTATTTTGCTGATCTTTCCAGTAACTTAATAATTTTTCGTGACATGTAGAAGGATCCATTTCAGCATCGAAGTCAAGCTGCTTTAGGAAACCAGAATTCATTATGGAAGTGATTGATTTGAACACCATATAATCCCAAAAGCCATGCATGCTTCTCTTTGACAACCAAGCAAACATGAAAAATAATAGTATCAGTTTATTTAATTTAGAAAATAAAAAAAGGAAAACAAGACACATTTTGTACTGAAATACAAAAAATAAAAACAACTAAAAATAAAATAATGTCGAGGATCCAAACTCTTTTGGTGTGAGAACAAATAAGGAATAACACTGCTAGAGCACAATTTTTAAAATTATTTCTATAAATATACAAATCATTAAAACATTAAATAGGCTGGAAGCATGCACGAGAAAAGTTGAGATGAAAGAATTTCTTACAGAGTCTGTGATAGCATTCCTCAATGTCCATCTCAACATAAAGAAGTGAATCTTTCAGTGGGCTACAAGCTCAGCATGAAAAATGTTTAGCTAATAAGTCTCAATAACATAAGAGTAAAGATATAAGGCTTTGATATGAAAACTTTTATCAAACTTTTCTCAAAATGTTGATTATCGAAGATGGGAAATCTAATGAATAGGAACATTTGGCAAACTGCTCCGAGGAAAAATAAGTTTTGGTTACCATTATACAAGTTACAGATAAGCTAAGAATTACTAATTAATATTTGGAGAATAAAAGCTATGCAAATATGTAATTAACATGTTGAGTCACAAACATGCAATCTGAAAAAAGAAGAAGATGTAATTAACATCCATACAATGATGAGAAACCTTTTCAATTTGATTATTATTAAACAAGTTACAAACATAAGCTAAGAATTACTAATGGGAAAGCTATACAAATATGTAATTAACATGTTGAGTCACTGACATGTAATCTGAGAAAAAAGGATGAATAAACTAATGCATGAATATTTGTGATGAAGTGACTGAGCAAGGTCATTATCAGATATATTGCACATCATGATCCTTTTTAACATCTTTATATAAGTTGTAATTAAAATAAACAGTTTCCCACATGAAGCATAATAATATTTTCACACTTCATATGACCTCCTCACAAATCCTCGATAATAGTTTTTAGTTGTATTTATCTTTTTACATACCATCTCTCGCCCATTATTTTATAGGTTAGCTCTGATTGAAAAAGCATGTCAAGAAAGTTTTTAAGTATAAATATTTGACTAGTCCTAGAACTTTTATCTTACTTAGTTATGGATCCAACCATGATAGAAAAAGGTCCAAGCACAAGCTAGCATAATTGGTAAAACCCCAAGGAATTGTACCAAGGACCTCATACACCTTCGTTAGGGATGGAGATGGGTTTGACGAGATTCAACTATTGTCTCTCCTCTAGTCTTCTTGGACAACAATTACTAAGGTAGAAACATAAAAAGAATACAGACCACAGTCAATAGAAAACCTATCAGTGGTTGAATGACATTCCTGTCGCTAGCCTTATACAACACATAACATAGTAACAAGAATAAGAAAAACATTAGTGTATTGAAGAATCCTTTTTCTTCGTTTTACCTTCTTTTAGTTGGAAAGACATAGTGACAACATATCAACCAACATATCCAACTAATTTAATAATCTAAACTTAAAATACACCATTGAAAACATTAAAATGTAACTTGTGGTACAACCTAAATACTTGAAATCATACCTGTTGTTCATAGATGCTTGTTTTATTCGGATATAGTTAATGGATATACAGAACATGATATCCAAAAATAAAGCAGAGCTTTCTTTAAGACACTCTAAAACCTGCCAAAAATGATAAATAATTAATAAGAGTTGGTTCGCTGAAAATTCATTACCAAGTTACTAAAATTGTTAATGCCTATGTTAAGAGATTAGTTCTATTCATGAAGTACACAAAGAGCAACATAATAAAGTTATAATATTACTTCAAAAGGAACAAGACAAAGCCTTATAGCTTGTAGTTGCCTCTTCTTTCTTTTTCAAGAAGAAGAAGAATAAGAATAGAACAAACTACCGTGACAGATCAACATTATGTAATTGCAAGATGTATTCCACATACAAAAAGACGATTTGAAATGGAAGAAGAAAAGGCTTTACTTAAAGATTGTTTTCACAATATCATTGACTACTTGGTTCAGACAATTTTTAAACTGCAACCTGGAAACTAAATGGCTTAAATATTGCTTTCCAATAATATATGCAAAATTCATATCCATTAACACTTGTATAGACGTGCACCAATGATACTTGCGAAGGACAATAATGGACCACTCAGAAGTTAAGACAATGGAGGCAAATATAAAAAAAAATGAAATTGCAAGAAGTAAGATATTAATTATCTGAAATGGTTTTGGCATCTCACCATTTTGAAAGAAATGATTGTTTCTTTTAGCCAATATAAATAATGTGTTGCATCTTTCCTCCGACTATTTAGATGGTTATGGCATTGTACCATAAAAGCATCCATAACGTGTTCATCTTTTAATTGTTTCCTTTTTACCATGACAAGATGGAATACTATCTTCTCACAGGATTAAAATTTTATATTATCATGATATGAGAAGTCAAGCCTGCAAACCTACTTGAATGCATTACATGGCCCACAGAGCAAACATAAGCATGCTTGGCACATAAATTGGAATGTTTAACACACCATTAAATTCTTAAAGATGAGCAAGGTCAACAACTCAATAAATTATAAAGAAGCACTTGATAAATTGGAAAATATCTCTAAAAGGAAAAACAAAGTACCTCCATTGAAGAGAATGCCTCATGCAAATAAGGAATTTCAAACATAGTTTTTATAATCCACCATCTACAGAGGATTATACCGCACAATATGTGTTGAAAACAAATACACCTCAAAGAGAACACGATCGTTGCCTAAATATTTTAGAAACAAACAAACAATATTAAGATACCAGAACAAAGTTCATAAAAGAAAGAAAACTGCTTAAAGTTTTGAGCAAAAAGTCAATGACTTAAACGTAGGAAAGCTTACCCGGGCCATGAAATGTGAAAATTTTAAAAGCCACTCATGGTATAAGTGAAAATCCCCATGAATCTTTTTCTTCGTAAGCAATATGACATCCACACATGATAAACATGCTCCAATGACTACTATAAGATGTAGGACCTTCTCTGAAAATTTTACCTAGATTTTACATATATACATGATTTTTGAAACATTAGTAAATTTCTCAGGTTAAAAAAAGACAAAAACAATCTTTTTGCTACTCCAATCAAAAAAGAAAAATAAAAGAGAGCCAGCATTGAAGGGAATGTGGAAGGGGAGCTATGCAGAATATTACTTGCTTAGCTTGATTCATGATAATAAATAAGAAGGATTTGAACTTCAAACCGGAGCAACAACAGATGCATAATCTAAATGTGAAAAAAGTAGCTTGGAATCATTCTTCAAGACAAAATCTGTTTTTGAAAGAGAAAGAAAAGATGTTACATGAAATGTAATCTTAACATAAATAAGAAGAAAAGAAAGCATACTCTTAATTCATGGATTTTATTAGAAATCTTAATAACATGCTAGTGTAGCAGGTTAGGAACCCATTAATGGTTTGCAGTGAACTTTACAATTGAATTATGTTTTTAATAAGTATGTAGATAAGAATATACGAATAAGGCTTAAGAGAAAGTAGACTATTGTGACAACAAAATCAATCCTCGTGTTATCTGCTTAGGAACCCATTAATGGTTTGAAGTGAACTTTACACTTGCATTATGTTTTTAATAATTATGTAGATAAGAATATACAAATAAGGAACTCCTAGGGCACTCTTTTCCTCCTTCCGCTGATTAAGGAACTACTTTCAAGTTCCGTTAATCATGAAGGGGGTTTTTAGTGAGGCCTACTATTACTATCAAAAAAAAAATAAGGCTTAAGAGAAAGCAAACTATTGTGACAACAAAATCAATCCTCATGTTATCTTCTTACTAGTGGTCTGAAAGGAATTAAAGAACAAGAATCCATCACATGTAAAAATTGTAACTTTACTTGATATTGATCTCAACTAAATATATACCCAATGCTAGTTAAACATATCTTTTCTTGACAAACTCGACTTTCGGACACTTCTTAGTTGCAAAATCTGACGGAACATACAAAGAAACGCAAACATAGACAAAATAATAGAGATACGTATAAAATCATTATTGATTATTTAGAGAGAAAATAAAGCTCACTTAAGAACTGATACTAGGCCTAATGATATTGCAAGAACATAGCCATCCAAATTTCCAGAACCTGAAAAAAGAAGTTGAAATCTCAAGGTCAATCATAAGTATTCCAACTAAAACTTCATAATAATTATTTATTACAGACCCTAGTTAGTTACAATCAGAGTACAAGGAAAAGTCAAGATGCCATGTTCATAGGAAAACTGTAAAACTCAACAGAATGAGCGAAACTTAGATTAACTGAATTCATAAGCTTTGCAAGAGATATTCAAATTACCAAATATGCATATAACATGAACGCCGACTTGTGATCTAAAGCAATATGCATTTCACAGTACATGGTATCATTGATGTATGAAACACTGAGCACCACATTAAATAGATTAACTTTCATAATGTTGGTATATAGGCTACATTTATATACAGTAGAAAAATTTTAGCAATAAAGTATCATTTTCCCTCTTTCCCTTACCTTACCTTTCACTCCCCTCGGACCAATCAAATCCTGCTAATGACAAGGATGCTTTTTCTTGAGAGGCGATCCGAAACAGCAGTTCTTCCGTTAGAAACTGGTAGGATCCTATAATCCTAGTATACTAAGAAACCTTTTGTTAAGGTGCTTCAAAGTACTTGACGTATCTCTAAAGATCATAAACCAAAATATATGATAATCAGATATGATATAAGCATCTCCCAAAAACCAACCTTGAAAATTACTAGAAATCAATTGCTCACAATTTGATTTAGCAAAACAAGCTCCTTCCCATCCACACGTCTTTTCTATTTGTAGTAGTCCATTCTCTTCAGCAGTGGGGAAGAACTACAAAGAGATAACATGTTAAAGAAAAAAAAAACAACCATTGTGACCAAGAAATGTGTAGCTATATTAAATTCACTAAATTTCTTCATGAACATGTTCATTGGGTCGAACCTTCAAGTATAGAAGGCTGGAGATCATCAACCATGTCCTTACCATCCCAGCTTTACAGTGCATAACAACAACATTCTCAATTTCCTCCTTCAGCCAGGAGTAAGCACATTGACAAAAGGATATGATCAATCGAATTGAGGGGGCAATTATGGTTTTCAACTGAAAAACTAGCCACCTGAAGAAAAAGTTGAATATCAACTATAAGATGTATAATTTCATTTCACATAGGTCATCTCACAGTAAGTTCTAACAGGCTGCATTTGCTGTTATGCATTAACGTGTAGGGAAACAAATGGTCATAAAGATTTGTCAAAGATAAGGTGGAACTGACTCTTCTTAAGAATTATCTTCTGCCAACAATTGATTGTCATCATTGAGTGAAACACTCTTTCTCATCAACTCCTAATGGATTCAATTGCCAAATAGTTTAAGAAGAAATTAGTGGCTTATTTTTCTGATTTGCTCCACAGGTCCAACCAAGCGGAAGTCAAAAAATATTTTCAAAAGTCGACATAACATGGTATGGTTATTTGCTTAAGAGACCTCGAAGAAGATCTTTTATCAAAGTTATATGATAGGCACATGGCACACAGCAACAGCTAACCAAAAAAAAACCCAGGTGGAAGTAAACATATAGTGAGTTACCACAACATACCTTTCCTTCAAACAATGAAGCATCATACAGCCTCTAAGTGCAAAGATTATATACTTTGTACTTGTCCTGCATTGAAGTAAATAGATTTTAGGATCAAACAGTACAATGCATGGCAATGATGAAACATGCACAAATACATATTAACTAGCAACAAAACGGCCCCTTCAAACCCAAATTTTATTTTTAAAGTAGATCAACCAAATAGTCAGCGACAATGATTTTAACAACTCCAGAAACCCCATAAGACAATATTCATATTAAATGAAAGGTGGATGTAATCGAAAAAAGGTATATAGATCAGAATTTTGGCATTAGACTACAGAAGTTGCTATTTAACTAGGTAAATACGGACAAGTGCCAAAGCACGCATAGCATAAAGCAGACAAAGAGCTAAGCCAGTTATCATTTTCAAAGAGCTTAAAACATATAGGAAGAGGAACAATAATCTCTGTCCCCCAAAAGAGTAAACTCCGTAAACCAGCATTTCAATGAGTTGCTTTGTCGAAATGGACAACTTATCATCTGCTAACATGTATAAATAAATACTGATAAACCAAACAAACTAGACCATGTTGTTTTTCTCAACTTAGGATGTTAAGAACTATAAAACAAAAACACATACAGCTGCATGGTGGAGAAAACCAGGGTGAAAAAAGGAGGAAGAAGAAGATGCAGATTATAGATCAATAGACCTGACATTACCTTGTGATGTGTTTAAAAAATCTGAATCACTTCTTCCAAGATATTTCAATAGAAACCCTGTATCACAATTATAGAATTCTTTGACTAATTAAAAGAGGATAGACAAATTCAAAAGTCAAAAATTGATTAGTGTAGCTACCTCAACGTATTCCCAAAAAAAACCCAGAGCTCATGTCACCAGCAGGGACATAGCAATTATTTTCTTAGGGACATAGCATTACCTGTAGCAGCTCTAAAAGAAGAGAAAAGCATATTTCCCGTAACTCACCACAATCCTTTTTAGAAAGACCAGTCCCTGAAAACAAAAATAACGAACAATAAGAGACAAAAACAATGACGAAGACCATGGACAACACACAAGAGAATATAACATGATATATATATATATATATATAACAACTTAATATCTAGCGTATTACGAAAAAATTCATTGTATCAACCAACTAAATATCTAGCGTATTATGGAAAAGTAATTGAACAATGAAAGAGATAAAGAAAATGAACTTTTTCTTTCAAACAGAGAAAAAAATTAATGTTTTAATATCAAGGATTCTCTCTCTCTCTCTCTGAATCACGATTAGAATTCAAAGAAACGCTTGGAAATAAAACCTAAAAGCTGGAAACAAACAAAACCCAGAAAGGAAAAGCGCAAGAAATCATTTCCCTGATAAAATTGAACAAATAGCCAATGACCACAATTAAACCCTAAACCCTCCTTTCTCATTTTACCCCAACCCCAAAAACAAAATGCACCCATAACCCAATATTCCAATTCGAATCAAAAAATGAAAGAAAGAAAAGGGGGTGAAGAAAAAGAAACTCAGAAACACCAGGCATTGTTCAATACAATAATACGACATTAATGAATGCAACATACCACTACTATCGCAAACTTCACAGACCATACCGAGAAAAAAATTAAAAAATAATGAAGCAGCAAAAGATCCCCCATTCGTTGAAGGAAAACAGCACCCCCGAAAGAAAAGAAACAATACCCTAACGAGAGAAGAAGCTGGTGACGACACAATCGATCCAATGAATATAAATTAATTTAATTCAAGAATAAATTAATATAATTCAAGAAAAATTAACAATTCCTTTTTAATTTTTCCCAAAAAATAAAACAGTTACCTGTAGCAGCTTTCCCGTAACTCACCACAATCCACTTTAGAAAGACCAGTCCCTGAAAACAAAATAAAGAACAATAAGAGACAAAAACCATGACAAAGATCATGGGCAACACGCAAGAGAATATAACATGATATATATATATATATATATATAAACAACTTACAAAATATCAGCAAACAAATACCATGTCTTTGAACAGGAAAAAATACTAGGAGAAGTCAATATTAATCATGAAGGTTAGTCACAATTCTGCATAGAAAAAAGCATTACTGGGAAGTTGTCAGTGCCAGTAATGTCAATAAATCCATATCACATTCTACACATCAGGAAGAACAAGGAATTAAAATAAATATTCAATACTAGAGGAGTATACCTAAACTTAGCCCATCAAGCAAAAAAAGGCACCATGAATAAATGAATCCTCAGGTCCCAATTTAGACACATTAACAAATGCTACCACGACAGAAGATATCTAAAAGTGAGAAACCTCCCAATTTGCAATTGATGTAAGGTACAAGAAATGAATTAGTTTAGTGCATTAGATTGATTCAACACATTTTTTTTTGATAAAAGTAGGTCTCATTAAAAATCCCCTTCATAATTGTCCCTTTCATAAATGAAAGGAGCAACTAGCGGAAGAGGAAAAGAGTACCTCATTTCAACACATTAAATGCCATGGACATGTTCTTTCAGGTTTGGGTCTTCAACAACCAAGATGATTAAAAAAAGAAAGGAGGAGAATATAAGAAAACAACTCCACGGGACAAAGTAAATATTACAATCACATCCATTGGCAGTCTCAAGAGCAAA